TTCGAAAAGTGAAAATGCTGTTGTCAATATCAGGTACTATTGACTGCATTTTAGAATTGCTTAATAAAGTCTTCTAGTACAGCATTACCTTGACATAGTCTCCAAATTCGGGTTTTGAGTTTTGGATATGCTTGTGTAAAAGAGATAAAGAAAACATAAAACTTACTAATAAATGATTCTGACATTGTAAATAATTTCTTGCTTTGTACATAAAGTTATTTTTGCAGTGCGTAAATATTAAAACCATTTTTATTTTGCAAGTTTGATTCATAGGTCATAAATTTAAAAAATTGAAAAAGAAACATGTCCGTACTCTGTGATCTTTTCTCTTTAAAATCTATTTTTCTAATTCGCTGGCACTCTAAAGTTGTAGTTGCAGCAGGCTAGAGTTGGGCAAAATTTTTAACCAAATAAAAATTTCGAATAATGAATGAAAGATAAAAAAGTTTTATTCGTTATTCGTAGCGTCGAATAAAATTTCCATATTTCATCTGTATCCTTTATTCGAAGGCTTCGAATAAACCTTCGAACATGGACGAGAAAAAGTGGGTTTTGCACTACTTTAGGAGAACAAAATTGGACTTTGCTCCCCTTCCCGGAGGAAAAAAATTACATTGGTCTTCCCTGACTCATAATCTGGATACTCCCATGCCTTCGAATAACTTTGGCCAGCCGGGCCAGCTCGAATAAACGCGCTGATGAACTGAAGTTACAATTTACGAAATTTATAATGAGTGGGGAAATAGTATTACCGTTATGTGGATTCTTTGTAAACCAGATGCACTTCTGAAATATTAAGCAATCGAAACAAAGACAACAATTCAAGCAAATAATTATTAGGAATATCGCAACTATAACTGACATAACTATTGTATACCATATCGTAGTTACCGTTAGTTTTGATTATTTTATTTCCTTCGTCCGTGCATTTTAGACATTTGCGAAACCAACGCCTTGCAATTTAAATTTCGTTAACAAAAGGGAATAACAGACAAAAGACTCCAACATTTGGTCTGCAGTCCGCCACGTACGTACGGTATACACCTGGGACCCATCCGCGCCGGGCCTTACCGAGGTGCGCTGACTCGCAGACAATACAGCCATAAACCTTACTGTTGGGACTCTTGGGAGACTTGAAATTTCGTCGCGGTCAAGTCGCCTCGTGAGCGACAATTTCCTGGCGTCCCCTTCGCCCTGAAGGAGAGGTTTTCCACCTCCACGTCTCTTGGAAAAACCTAGGAATTTGCCTTCTCCTTCAGGGCATAACTAATTAGGATGCGAATTTTGGTAACGCCTTCGCAACCTCGAAGAAGCGTGACGCTACACAAAACTCATACATTCGCACTCGAAACATTCATTCGCAGCTTGTTCGAAAACACTAGTGTCGGCAACACGCATTCGATCATTCGACAAATCACGTTCGACAAAACTTGATGATAGTAACTCGCGATTAGTCAGCTCCAACGATCGAGCAATCATACGGTAAATTTTAATTACCGTATTAAATTTTGAAACAATTGCTTAATATTAAATTGGCAGGCAATAGTCGCAACTAGATGCGCACCACGACGGTCGTGCCTGGGATTTACAACCCCAGGTGGACGGACGCGACACCTCTAGTGCCATTCAATTTTATGTAAATAGTTTTCTCGTATTTCAAATAGTTTAGGAAATAACGGACTGTATACCGTTCGCGCGGACACCCCGTACGTGTAACATAATTCATTGTACATAATTATGAGCGAAATTTTGAGCGTGACACTAAGTGAGTGGTGACTATTCTATGGGATCGTGTGTGATAAATTCGTGTCAGAATAAATTTGATATTAGTTGTTTGTAATTTTAAATATGTTCAATAAATTTATTACATGACATATGTAAAATTGCAAACAACTGCGCTGCAATAGTGGAAAAAATGACGTTGGGGAAGGGTCTCCTACCATTTCGTATCGGGAACTGTTGAAATGTACGCCAAATTAACGTTCGGTTTAATATTTCTTTCAGTGTTGGAAATAACTTTATCAATTGGTAAAAGGCCCTTGCCTCACAAGTAAATACGAGTACATTATTCGATACGTTCGATACTTTTGTTTCGATACCTAGTAGGTATCGAAAAAAAGTACTCGTATTGAAAGGAGTGAGTATCGATCCATCAACATTTGATTTTGTAATTACTTTGAACACAAAAGAATGTTGTTTATATTACTAATTAAGCAATGTGTATTTAAATATTTTCAACATTAAAAATAATATATGTATATATGGTTAGATATGAGCTTCAAAAAATGGTATTTTTAAATATAGAACAAGTTTTCCTGCAGCATCTTCATCTACCATCTAGATTATGTTTGACATAACCTTGTTCAGTATGCATCTTACCTCCCCAATAAAATACTTTACTACTTAAATTTAGCAAGTTTAAGTCACTGGCGAAGTCAAAGACTGCGCTTTCCGTTTCTATTAAATATTTCATTTAATTTTATCATTAATAAATGAATTATCTATGTTACTGATGAATCTTTATTTATTCCTTTGTTTTTACAAAAATAAGGGGATTCCCCATTTTTCTAAGTACATCGTTGCCTTGTTATATACATATTCTATGTTTTACTGGGTTTATTTTTGCAATATACTTAGAAAGATGGATTGATTTGGTTTGTCTAGATATTTTTGAGGCCGCCTTGCGTCGCAGATCTTATGCCCCACGTTGAATATTTTCAGAATATCTCTGAAACTAAGTAAGTAAGTAGTTGGACAAATAATATCTGATAATTAATACCTACATACATATTTATTTATTACGTATATCATATATTACGTACATTGTATATAGTTTATACATATGTTTGTTTATATGTTTTATATTAAATATATAAATAAATATGTAAAGTATAGTATTGTATGTTATTTTCTCTCAAGATATAAATAACTTTTCTGTTGGATATCAAGGTTAGGAAAATATAATTCGATACCGAGTAAGTATCGATACCTTGGCGGTATCGATTCAACCCTACCTTTGGGACCATAGCCTATAATCTAACTATTTATAAATAGAAGTTCGATTATCAATCGCTCATAGTAATTTGTTTTCATCAACGACTACTTTCAAACGATTACTGCTTGCGTTAGTAACAAGAACTCTGTTACGACTTATTACTAATGAAACGTTTCGCAGGCCACAGTATTAGTCTCAGTTAGATGTCTGACATCTGCAACGTTCGCTTTACGTTTAAATTTGACATAACGAAACTATTAATATATCTCGATGAAAAAATATTCGTTTTATTGAAACTTACATAAATATGTATGTGAAATTTCAAACAGATATTATCAATAGTGTATGAATAAAAAATGATAAAGGATTGCTTCTTCCTGGACCGGAAAATCTCCTTAATGTTTGCAAACATGTTATCACTCTACAGATACACATAAAAGGATGGCAAGACCAATGTTTTTCCAATACAATTTCATTTTGTTACATAAATTTTTCTTACTAATTGTACTAATCAATAATTACAAAGAACTTATCTATATATTCATGTTTTTCAAAAATAGTACTAAAATGTGGTTCTGCAATTGTCATGTAACGTCTATTATATATTTAAAGATACATATGACAGGCAAATAAACGCATTTTCTTGTAATTATGTAAAACAGCATTAATTAATAATAGTCACTATCATATATACATATAATTTAATTTGCATCTTACACATTATAAATGCATCTTACACGTCTTCTCGATAGTATGTAGTCTATTAACAAAAATTCATATAAATTCTTACATTTCAATAAATTTCATTGATGTTTCTACAATTTCGCATTAACAATTACTATTTTTTTACGGAATAGGTATTATACGAGAAAAATTCATTACGCAATTCAATAGCCAATTCAAAAATATTATTCATATTTAGATCCCACAGTAATCTTTAGCAGTGAAATTTGTTGAAATATATTAATATATCTCTTTATATTTACACGATACACAACATAGTTTTTATAAACCTACACTGTACAAATACAATAATACATAACAGAACTGTTCTTTAAATAACATAAAATTAAATATGATTAAACTCGGTATTATAGAATATCTATTTCAATTTTGCATAATAAATAAATCTTGTTGAGAATAGTAGAAAATAATATTATAAATTTAATATGATTGTTGTCACTTACTGTAACAGATACTGAAATACAACTTTTTAAGTAATATATAAAAATTACTTTCTTTATTCACTATATTATTATTCGAAATTGAAAATTAGTGTACAAAAATCGATGATTTCTTTTAAAAAGTTATAGATATTAATGTTGGGAACTTTATTCTTAGATGCTAATGTCCAATTAGCTGCTCTAAACTATTCAGCTTACAATAGTCCTGGTCTAAACCACAACCCTTGTAGACTTAGCAAACTTGTACTTTTCACTTCAACATTTCTTACTTTCTCCATTTTAAAACACTTGTGCACTAAAACATACAAAATGCACTGATGCATCTTAATTAGATGAAAAGTTCAACAGCTTATGAAAAGGTAGTAAAATATGGATGAATGGTATAAATCCAAAATGTATTGTTATTTGTTCAATAAAACTCGAACTGCTTTGAACATTGAGTGTTGACAAGTCTTTAAAAATTTTACTAAAGATATCATACAAACTGACATCAAAAATATTAAGCAACTTTTTGCTTAGACTCAAATGTCAGATAGTATATATTGTAAAACAAATAGCACATTCATAGTAATTTACACAAACTAATTCTATTTAAGCTCAATAGTGCACGTTTACGTTTCAGAAAAATATAACGTGGAAAGTGTATTCAAACATAGAATTACTATTACATCGAGTGTAAAAATGTCTAGATTTCTTGATTGTATGTAAATCACATTTTCAATTTATTATGTGGTTAACGATTCGTATTGTAGTTACTGTTTACGAAGAAGCATTACAAAATTCTTTACCACTTCCAATGGCACACACTTCATCAACATATGTTATACATCAAAACAGGGAGGAAGAACGTTGATACTGTGTTGCATGTTTTACAAGTTAACTGCAACTCTAAAATTACCCTCAAGATATTACGCATGAATTGCGACCGACGCAGCTGGTACGGGCATCTGTTATGCTACCGGGCGAACTACCAGGAGTGGACAGTCCGTTGTAACCCACACCAACGAAACGCAATTTCCGATGATGAGAACCAAGACTTTTACTAGAACTCAACGATCTATTTCCATTGTAACGTAATTGAGACGTAGTCGTCATTGCGTACGATTTTAGGTGAGATTTAATCGACTTAGGCAACGGAAGCTGATCGATACCGTAGACTGTCGTTCGTGCCACTATTGCACGACATGCAAGTTCTTGAAGACTGAGCACTAAAAGGCAGACAAATTTTTCATGAAATTTTCTTAAGATGCATTACAGGTATAAAAAAAAAAAAAAAAAAAGAATTACCTTTATTAGATCGCCATAATCTTTCCATGCCATTGCGATGCAGTGCCATACGAGAAAGTTCGGAAAAACTTTCACGAATGTTAAAGTTACAAAGGGGTGAAACTTCAAAAAACGCCATATGATTTTTAGCTGCATATGTTTCCGCATCACGTTCTCCTACTTGCCTTTTAAACGCTAAATGAAGACGATTTCCAACAAGTACTTTCGGTACACCCGGAGCATGCTGTAGTATTAAAAGAACAAATTTTCATTTCTTGTATTTTCGTTCGGAAAAAATACATTATCCTCGATACTTCTAATGTTGAGAGTGGTACATTTGGTGGAAGAAATATACAGCAGTAACGTTGTATTACAACAAAAACCAGCATTGAACAAGCATGTAACATAGTTTTCCATTGCTTGCAATGTATTGTGACATATTATGCTAATAAGGAACATCACCGTTGTCATTTTCACCTTTTTGTTGTAGAAGAAAAATAGCAGCCGATTATATAAGAGATCAGAGGAGTTGAACCCGGGTCTTTCGCTTTCCGGGCGATTGGTTCGACCAACCAATGCCGTTTACGCACTGTCAACTAGTTGCCGGAGACTGCGAGGTGCGGAAGAATATGTAAAGTGGGTCAAAAAAGTATTTGTACAGCTAGTTTTTTTGTAATAATATTATATAAACAAGTGATACACTAACAAAAACTGTTTCTATAAATTGTATACTATGATCAGAGATAATGTGCAAAGTAAAGATTTTTTATAATGCGTTACAAGAACATAATACAATAAAAACAAGAATTAGGAAGTCAAAAAAATATTTGTACACTTATGAACTTTCATACGGTCAATTTTAAAGTGTCCATATTTTTGAAGATAAGTCTATAAAGAGAACTAAGAGTTTAAATAGTTCCCCGGTATAAAAATAGTGCATTTATTTAAAAATTTTCGTTTGAAATCGTTCAATTTTTAATACAAGGTGTAACAAAATTGTTGGAGGACCCGGAAATCGGAGACTCGTGGGGTGATTTGAAACAGGTCTTTCCTTAAGGGGTTATTATACCTACCTATAAATTTTGGAAAAATCGTTTTTTGGGTTTACATATTTTCTTACAGTACATCATTTTAGAAATATTGTGTGAAAGTTGGAAGTTGATTCGACCAAAATTGGCGGTGTTACGCCCGTCTAAAGTATACGGTCTCGGAAGTTTCGGAGCAGATATAAAGTGGTAGAATCCCTTTCTAGGGGTGCGTAAATCATGAGTATTGTGTCCCAATGCAATTTATGGTTGTGGTAGTAAATGCACAAAGCTATATGAAGCCGTGGATACTAAGAATAACTATATATAACAAAATTGCATTGATTCGGTTGTACACCTGACTTGAAATTTTAAACGTGTTTTTCTCATAACCACATTTTCTAAATCGGTGACCAAAATGTCTCGAGAACTGCTGCACCGAACTGATTCAGCTTTGGTGGACTCATTCTATACATAAAAATCTAGTGCCTGATCGTGGTTTTTTGTATTTCATTGCATAGTTTTTATTTTATAGCATTTTTCTCAAAGTTCATCGATTTCAAGTAGCTTGAAAAATTTAAACGATTGACTCGGCTCGACCGACCGGTCATTATTTGACTCGAAATTCGAGTACACGCACACTCCTATTAGCAATGATTTTGATCGGCCAAAGCTCGTGAACTCGAAGTATATCAACCAGTTACGTTAATAGATAACAAAAGTTCAATTTTGCTTTGAGTATTTTTACGTATTATACATATAACACGTATAGAACTTAACGTAATTTTTCGTTAATTCTTATTGTTTCAACCGTTTTATAGTGAATTATAATGGTAAGGAATTATAACGTTCATTTTATAGTTGGATACTTTTTGTAACTAACCTAAAACTTTCTACATGTTTCGTGGATAAAAGCTAAAACGTAGACGTCTCTATACTTTTGTTCTTTATTACTTTAGTATTTTTCTAGCAACATATTACTATCAGATACATTAACCTTCAATGCTACAATCCGTGTTAAATTTCGCTTCACATAGCTAATACGACGATACTGCTATATTTCTTCCACTAAATCCAGTAGTAACCTAGTAACTCCCATAGCACGCACAGTTACTTGGTCTCGATGTTCGATACAGGAGTGGGATATACGTTTTTGACTCAAGATGAGCATAATTTCATTCGAATAATCCATAGTGGGGAGAAACAGTATTTCACGTTTAAATGGTTAATTTGATTTAACAGTAAAGACTCGATGAGAGTTAGATAGGAAGTTCCTTGTGAGAGTTTCTACTTCATCCCCACAACTAGGGTGGGAAGGCCGTGGACCTGTTGAGCGCATAGTTTATTGCCTCCTCCCCTTCCCTCCTGCTTTTGTTGCCGAGGATCGGGGACTTCGGGCAAATAATAGATAGGTGTTGAAACAATTCGCAGTGCATCGTGAAAGTTTTTAAAGCGGACCCGAGTTTCAAACTCTCATGTAATCTTTCACTGTATTTGTCTACGTGACCACTCTTTCAAAAGGAATATTAATTTCTTTTACAACTGAAATTCCCGAGTATATTTAACGAAAAATAATAAATTAATTTCTCATCTTTTAATAATCTGTTTCAGTCAGAGCAATTTCTATTATCTCAGTTATGAACGAGAAATATAGGAATATAAAGAAATGAAAATTAATATTTTTATGTCTTAAGAAATGTTTAAGAAAACATTTTTAAAGAATTTTCATGGTTGCTTTGATGAAAATAATGTTACATATAGTCGATATTAGATCAAATTCAGTGTTATCTTGGGCAAAATAATCTCACTACTATATTCAAATTGTTTTCATAAACATTTTTGACAAAACAGCAAAATTTAAATTTTCATTCCTGAACACTGTATCCTCGCAATGTTATCTGTTATGACGTACTAAAAGAAACTCTAACTTTTTTAATTCGAAACCACAATTCCAAATCATTCCATCATTTAAAGAGAGATAGAGTGATAAAAATGCGTACTATTGAAATTAATGTGCGGGAAATATGAAGAAGTATCATTTGCAGGACTAAATTTATAAAAATGATTCAAATATCCATAAAAAAATCTGATAGAGCAAACAAGGATGTAATCTGCAAAAGAATAATAGTAATTTGAGCTTTGAATGTTTTTAAATAACTTCCTTCCAATAGTATACATAAAGGTACTACTTTGTCTGTCATTATTGAATTATGTAACCCATACTTAGAAAGTAAATGATTTTGTTAAATTGGCCACCTAATTATTGTACATCTTCAAACTTATGATATTTATTATAACTGTTTTTCTATATTTGCAAAACAGAGTTCCATGAGTGTGACTTGAACTCCCTTTCATTAAAAGTGAGAAACTGTCAGGAGCTCAAACTACAATTCTCACAAGTATATGTAGATCTATCAATCTAACAATCTCTATTGTCTCTTCCCTTCTTAGTATTATATATGTAGCTTTCAGAAACAATGGAAATAACATATTGATATCGGAAAGAAACTATTTCAAAAGTGATTCTCAATATTAGTGAATAAAAGCATTGTAATTGAGTTTATAAATGTAGTCCTAAAAATTTTTAATCAAAGTTCATAGTATACTAGAATATTAAAACTGAAGATATTTAACTGTCAAGTACCTCATCAACTTCCTTCAGCCATCTGTCGATGCCATCAAAAGACCATTTATTGGTAATATCGTAGACTAAAATTATACCTTGTGCACCGCGTGAGTAAGACCTGATTATTGTACAAAATCTACCTTGACCCGATGTGTCCCATAACTGTAACTTTACTCTTTTCCCATCTAGTAAGATAGTAGTGGTTTTATATGCTAGAACATAAATGTTTATTTATGTATTTACTTTTCTCATTTGTTATATACACTACCACTCATAATTATTTGACCATTCTCTTTTTTATGTTATTTCAAAATATTTTTAACAATTTTTCAAGGTACATGATTACTCTTTCCTTATAATATAGGCTTGAGAATGTGTCAAATGAAAACTACCTAAAAGAAAGACAATTGTAGATTGTGATCCTTTTTATTTATTTTTTTAAGAAGAATAGTATGTTACGATGCGAAAAATATAACTGTTTAGATTACCAGAAATAATTTTTAAATGAAAAAACAAACTGAATGACTATGAAAAGTTGCTTTATATGAAGATAAGAAAATTATAATGAATGGTAAGCAAAATTGATGCTAGAAGAAATTAGTGATTATGAAGTAAAATAATTGTTGACTGACTACAAACATTTAATTACAAATGAAAGAAAAGCATTTAGAATGAAGCTTATTAACACAAAAATTTATGTTACTAACATTGGAAATATGTTAGTTAGATTAATCAAATACAATGTAATGTCACTAACCAAAGACTCAAATCTATGTATTATGTACTATTGTCCACAGAAAAGGTTCTATGATCTTCAAAGGAAATAATTCTGTTATAAATAACCTTAGAATAATAAATGAGATTTTGAGCAACAAAAACTACAGAGCAATACTGTATAATTAAATCCAAAGATTATTTTACACAATTTTATTTTTAAACATATTAAGCATATGACTAAACATTGTCATACTATTTACAATATATACAAGAAGCACATTAAATTAAAATATTTTAATTTTGTTCTATGATATAAATTCAACTGTATTATAATGAAACGAATTATATGAAATCATATGAATCATAATAAATCTTTTTTGGCTTGTTACTAAAATATTGGTGTTTGTATAGGTCAAATATATTCGAACAGTAATGTATTCTCGGTAGAACAAATAATGACTTTCTCCAAGCTTCCTCAAGTATCCTAATAAATGATAACTTCAGCACAAAAAAGCTGTTAAATGTGATTTTCACTAGTAAAATATCATAGATAATTAAAAGTTTGTCTCAATAATAGTTCTTATCCATATTGTTTATTATTCAGCACCTAAAGTTATTTCATAAGGCTCAAGGAAACTTGGTTTATGTCTTTTCTTGAACTATTAACATTCTATACTCAAGAGCTTTACCATATGGCACCCAAACCGTACCATGAAATCACTATATTTCTTCTACCAATAATAAGGATATACATTATTTAGACAACATACATATACTAGTAGTTGCATATAATAAAATAATACATTAAAATGTAATTAGGTAATGTATTCAAAGATTTTACGTTTGTAATAATATCCATTTAATGTATGAACAGATTTTTGGAAACTGTAGGAAAGAAATTTTAAAATATCACAACTATATTCAACTATTTCACACGATTTATTAAAAGTAATAAACTTACACTAATCTACCAGAAAAATTAAACAAAATGTCATTAAAGGTTGAATTGTTATACTAATTTATTCAGCGAGATTTGTTTCACTGAAAAAGTACGGTATAATGTTGACTATGTAACTAGACAAGAAAAAGGTTAGATGAAGTTTAATAGAGAGCAAAGGCACTACTAGAATGAAAAGAATAAAAACAATACTAAAGATAAATAAAAATAAGGAAAGTTGGAAATAATACCACTGCCGCTGCAAAACGGAGATTCGGCAGCACCATCTTCAAGTCCACTCAAGATCTCTTGTTTTCCAACGTCGCTGTCACCCACCAGTAAAAATTTAAGAAGGTAATCGTATTGCTTTTCTTGACGAGGCTTTGTTGTGCTGGCCTCACCTGCAGCCATAATATCCCCCTATTGCAAACCGTGAGCATACTGCAGACAACCCTGTAAGCTCCGATTGCCCCTTTAATGTTTTCTGCTTTAGGATCCGTGAACGGATAAACTTTTCTAATAAACTGTCTTCACTGATAAAACCATAGCACACTGAACATTAATTCCTTTCAGAAAACGACGCGTTCCCGTGTTGTCCTTTTATTAACGGTTATTCTACTTGCAATGAAAGTCGTCACAAGACAAGGATAGAGTCTATTTTCCACTGCATTATCCGTTCTAGATTTAATTAGTTTGATGGTCTGCTGTCATAAGTTTTTCGAAGGTCAAGTACGTTCACGAACATTCACGAATAAGCACAAACTAATAAGGCTATTACAAAACGAACGACAACTATTTTAAGAAAAATACTCTACAAAGGAGAGTTTCCATGCTACACCCTCGAACAAAATACAAGTAGTTGTTCACCCCACCCTTGACACTCGAAGGACGCTAAGAACCATAGACATATATAATAGACTGCGAGATCTTATGAGTAGGGCTAAAGTTGACATAAGAGAGAGAGGGTAATAACTGGAGCAGCTACTTCTCTTTCTAATGGGCTGTTGGTGGGGGATTCTCTTAGGGCTGAGTGGAAGCATTACATGCGTGCAGTATCCCTTTCCTTTATTGGTCTCCAGGCGCTTTCGCCTCTCCCGCGGCAATGTGCGAGCAAGAGAAGAGCTACTCCAGCGCTACTTCTGTCCTTCAGTCTCGACTGGTCTCGACTAGGGTTGAATCGATATCGCCAAGGTATCGATACTTTTACTCACTGCTAGTGTTGCGGTCCCCGCTCATGTCACGTAGCGGTGTATGTCATAAGCTTCACAGGCGCGAAGTTTGAATCGAATAACACATGTAATAGGAAAGGAGGGTAAAGGTGAAGTTGACACTGATATGAAGAAGTGTGAAATCTGTTAGAGATCCTTTTAATAAATGCAGTTCAAGATTATAAAATAATCAATATTCACTTAGAAACGGATGTTTAAACATTTGCCAGTTGCCTTCGCCTCCTATCCTACCGCTCAGAACCATTGCAAATATGTAAATCGCTCGTTATCAATAACCGGGAAGAAACGCATCAACGAATCAGATTAAATCTTAGAAATTAATAATTATAAGATTGGTCAGTAGTAACTAAGGACATTTTGTAATTAAACAAAATGATATACGAAGGAAAATGAAAAGACAGTCCATTCCACCGACAACGTTGTAATAGAAAGGACGTATAAAAATTACTTTATCAATTAAATTTGTTTTCCTTTAAAATTAGTTAAAAATCGTTTATTTAAATAGTTTAAATATAGTTTTCAAAGTTTTAATTTAAATCTTTATTGTTCTTTATTATTATCGTTATAATTTCCTTTTTATTCAAAATTATCTATCAAACTAACGTGTTTCAAACTTTAATTACTTTGAGACTCAGGATTCCCTGAGGGCCCACGCAACACTAGTATTGTATAAAAGATCTTGATACCTATTTGTATCGAATTATATTTTCCTAACCTTGATACCCAACACAAAAGTTGTTTATACTTTGAGAGAAAATAAAATACAATACTATACTTTAAATATTTATTTAAATTTTTAATATGGAACATAAACAAACATACATATAAACTATATACAATATACGTAATATATGATATACATAATAAATAAATATGTATGTAGATATTGATTATCAGATATTATTTGTAAAAGCATACTTAGTTTCAGAAATATTCTGAAAATATTCAACTCGCGGCATAAGATCTGCGACGGAAGGCAGCCCCAAAAATACAAATCAAACCAATCCATATTTCTCAGTACACCGACGAGCAAACTCGGCTTCCGCTAGGGGAAAAAGTGATAAATTTATTTCAGGTACTAAAACAAATGTTAAACCGAATGTTTATTCGGCATAAATTTCAGTAATTCCCAATACCACGTGGTAGGAGGCCCTTATCCCTACGCCACTTTTTCCCCTAACAGAAGCTGAGTTTGCTCACAAGGGTACATACATATTTATTTATCATGTATATCTTATATTACGTATATCGTACATAGTTTATACATATGTTTATGTTTATATGTTTTATATTTTATATTAAATATTTAAATAAATATATAAAGTATAGTATTGTATTTTATTCTCTCTCAACGCAGAAACAACTTTTATGTTAAGTATCAAGGTTAGGAAAATATAATTTGACACAAGTAGGTATCGATACTTTTGTTTCGATACCGAGTAAGTATCGATACCTTCATTCAAAAGTAGTTATGAGTAAAAGTGTCGATACTTTGTTGGTATCGATTCGACCCTAGTTATGAGTAAAAGTGTCGATACTTTGTTGGTATCGATTCAACCCTAGTTATGAGTAAAAGTATCGATACCTTGGTGGTATCGATTCAACCCTAAGCGAGACGGCGCTCAGCAGAGTCAGCAGTTGGTGTCGCCCGTGTCGCCATACCACGGACCACAGCTAGAGTTGCTCACACTCTGGAAACGCGCATTCACGCGCATTTAGAAATTCTTGATGTTCTCGACCAAAAAAGAAAAGAGGTACCTACATCATCGTACATCGTCTTGCTGGTTTTAACTGGTTTTAACTGTCCATCACTGTACATCCAAAGCTTTTCCTCACAGTAATTTTTTAAATAGATAAGTTTTATTTATTTCTTCTGCGTTGTTTTCCCTTCTTCAACGTTCGGATTAGTAAGTAGTTAACCATTATATTCTGTAAAGTTATACATACATTTGCTTGCATTTATCAAGGTCAGCTATTCCTAATGAATCAAATAATTTGTATGTTACAGAAAAAAATATTATCTTAAAATGCCTACACATTGTGCAATACCAAACTGTGCAACAAATAAGGATAAAAGTGGAAATAAGAGATCATCCTTTCAATTACCACAGAATGAGAGCCTTCGGAGTAAGTGGATGTTGTCCATTCCAGGAGCACAATTTTTAAGATCACAGGATCGTATATGTGAGAAACATTTTGAGGAACATTTAATAATAAAAAAATATATAAAATATGATAACAGTGGTAAAGTTATAGCAGAGGTAAGATTTTCAAAGGGATTTTATAATAGTTAACAGATAAATTTGGAATGTTTTGTTTCTAACATTTTGTTTAATATTATGTATTAGTATAACAATTTGCATAAACTAATTTAAGAATTTCAAAATGTATTAGGTTCCTTTTGCACGTGCTCGTTTAAAAAAGGATGCAGTGCCAACAATATTTGACCACCATGATCAATATTTTAGATCGGGTCCTTATGAAGCAAGAATAGGTACAGATCACACATACGCATTACTGGCAGGTGAGTTTAGTTCCATTTTTTTTCCTTCTATATTAATGTTTAAGTCATTATAGATGAGTCTGAAACTTGTACTGATAAAACACAATGACATTGTTTTTAAATGTTTGTATTTCTAAACAGAATATTTTTCTCTTTCATATTTTAACTTTCTTTCATATGAAAAATAATATTCAAGTAAGTTCAAGAAATTTTTTAACTATTAATGGTTTGTATATTAACAGCATTGCCAGATAAATCAATAAGTAATACATTACAAGATGCAGATTTATCAAATAATATTGAATATAGCGCAGAATGTGAATTTGACTTAACGAATGTATCTGTGAAAAGGGAAACAGAGTTTGAGTCTGAACAATGTGAATACTTACTTCCTTCTACATCTTCTAAAATTAATACTAATGTTAATTTTCAGCGTAAGTACTTAATGCTTCTTTATTAAGAAAAAATTCATGCATAAATAAAATAATGCCTAATGAAAATTTTTTAAATATTGTTACAACCCTAAGGATTCAATGCAATAATGATTGTAGTTAATAAGATTTTTCAGTAATAAGTTTAATCTTAATTAAAAGTTAGTTGATTATTACTTCTGGATACACATTAATTTATTACTTCTGAATTAATATACTTACAACATATTTCAACAGCCAAGAATGAGGTACGAACTGAGAATGTGCAAAGAAAGTATCAGTGTTTGACAAATGGTGCTTTGAAATCAGAATTGTTGACAACAAATAATGAAGCGCAAGAGGACTCGAATATGTACAAAAAGTATGAATGTACATGGACTAAAGTTGTTTTTGACTCTGTTTCGTTCAGTTTAAGATCTCTAAGTAAGTATGATCTGTCTTCGCTCTGAGAAACTTAAAACTTACAGTGTATAAATTGGTATAGTAGTATATAAAACTAATTTCAAGTTATGTTGTTAGAAAAAGCAAAATTAGTTTATGGTTAAGTTCAATATATTTGAAGGGTTTCTAAATTTTAAATTATTAATCCCTGCTTTTATCAATGGTTTCTTAATGGTTTATTACTATTATAAGGATATATATTACAGTTGTATTCCATTCTCTTGTAACCACATTTGATCAAAGTACACTTTAATGCTATGTTCGAGTTTATTATTACGAATAATTGAAAATTGGTAGTATTTAAATTAAATGAAATAAAAGAATAAGTTTTTTCTAGATTGAGTTTTTCTGAAACATGATTTATAGGAATTGTTTTTTAACAGGTGCTGATAGTTTTGAGGACAGTGTATTCATGAAAGTACCAAAACCGTGGAATGTAAATAAATTAATGAATGGATTAGAAGAAACTCTTTTATTTACATGCATTGTACAGACCAATGAATGCGGAATTCAAAAACATGTCCTTGAGAAAGCTGTCATAATTAAGGCTTCTAGAGAAATAGTTTATGAAGCTCATTCTACACCTGTTGATGTTAGTGGAACAAAACTTCCAAAAATTTTGACAGTGGTCTCAGTGTTACCGGACATTTTAAAAAAATTTAGGGATTTTCGTATTTGCGAAGGAATTGTGACAGATATAAGCTTAGATTATACACAAGATAACACAGATTTGAAAAGAGACATTTATTCCAATTTGCGTCACAAAAATTGCTCTGTCTTGTCGATTAATAGGAAAAGATGCACTGCGTGCAACAGATATTCTAAAGGATTGTTTCAAAGAATTAGAAGGATGAAAAATAGAAAAAGCATACAACGTATAACCAATTCCGTACGTCTTCTCGACGACATGAAATTAAAAGCTTTGAAAAATAAAATGAAGTTTCGCGCTGTAAATGTTTCTCGTGTAAAAAGCAGATATCAATTACTAAAAGATTCATTAGAAAATCAGCGAAAGAATGTTGCTAACGTCACAACTGATGCATTACAAAAAATGTCTAACAACTAGGCATTTGTCGTAAAAGAAATAATTTCAGCCGCCCAAAAAAGTGATCCAAAAGGACGCCGCTACACGGATGAATTTAAAATGCTTTGCATGCTGATGAACATCAGATCGCGAAGTTATTATGAATTCTTACGGAAAAATGATATTATCCCGTTGCCGTGTACAAGAACAGTAAGGAATTATTCGAATTTGATGGGTGGGAAATGCGGCTTCGACAAAGACTTCTTCAAACTTTTAAAAACATCATTTACTGCTAAGGATGTATAAAAACGTCATGGCGTGCTTCTTTTAGATGAGATTAACTTAAGGAAGTCTGTGGTAGTATGTTCAAGAACGGTAACATATTCTGGTTTAACAGACTTTCGCGACGATGGGACACAATCCTGCGATATTCAAAATCTGGCAACGCATGGGCTTGTGTTGCAGTTTCAGTATTTGACAGAAGTATACACAACCTATTGCAGTATTTGCATAAAAAAATGCTGCTGGTGAAAATTTAGCAAAACTTGTAGTAAGAGCGACATGCCTGGTAGAAAATGCGGGTGCTCTAATACATGATGTGTTTGCAGACGGTGCATCGTATAATAGAAAAATGTGGAAAATATTGGGCATCAATAGATCTGTCAATTCAACGCAAAGTTGGTTTATTCATCCACTTGATGATATTAAAAAACTATTCGCATTTTCCGACACGCCACACTTATTCAAATGTATTAAGAATCGCCTGTATGATAAAGGTTGATTGAAGGTATATAATTTTATAGTGACATATGTTGTTAATTATCTAATTACATAAAGGTTTTGTCAAAATCGTATTTAATATTTGTTTCATTTTGAGGAGAATTGTGATGAGAATTATGTTAAATGGGAATACTTCAATCACCTTTACGACACTGATGCTACTCATGCAGGAAATGGTACAGTATGCCCAAAAATATCTAGAAGGCATATACAATTAAATAATATAGCCCAAATGCGTGTTTTTTGCAACTCAGGTAAAATATCTTTGTATTTATTTCTATATTGCGATTATTTTTCGAAATTATATGATTCTATTGTAACAAATTATTACAAAATTAATTATTAGCTTCTCTATATATAATTAATGCATTATAAATTGAGATATTTATTGTATTTAAATATTCTATTTTTTTTCCTTTAAGATTTTCAGTAACTCTATAGCTGCTGCTTTTAAATTTTATTCTCTACACAACATAAAAAAACTCGAAGGCTGTGAAGCAACCATTCATTTTTGTTTGCAAATGAACAATATATTCGACGCATTAAATCGGAAACAACCAAACGAAGGCCTCTCACCAAATTCAACGGATTTTAAAGTAATTATTGTTAATTCAATTCTCTCAATACATTTTGTATACGTGTTATAAATTAATTATTATTAAAATAAATATCTTATAATTTATATTTTTTCGTATAATTACTAATAGTTATTAGAAGCAGCTGTTGTATGGTTAAATAAATGAGAAATTGATACAATGAATGGTGTAATTGCAAAGGATAAGTGTTTAACTAATGAAACCGCTCACGGATTGCGTATTACCATTACATCGACTTTAGATCTACGTAGATATTTAATTGAAAAATTTAATTTTCAATATTTATTAACTGGCTATAATAATTATTATAGGATCTCTAATACAACCGTGCCTATACGACACAACGTTCCGGACAAAGAGTAGGGATCAGTAGGGATACAACAAGACACGGCACCTTTGATGTTACTCGATGCCTCGTCCCTTTAAATTAATAATAAGAAGTGGGATACTTGAAATGATTAAATTAAATATGTCTCTTTACGTCATCTTAGCCTCTAAGTATTAACAGTGCATTTGTGTTATTACTTTCTACATATTACCAGTAATCAACTCCTAAGTATTTATATCAACCTTATAAAATTACGAAGTTAGGGAATAATAAATATAATATAATTATAGCGTTTAAAAGAATATATTGCAAATATATTACAGAAATATATAATGAGTATAAATATTTGTCTATGTTATTTATATTTATTACAAATAAATATGTTACAAGTAAATTACAAAAATATTTGTTATGAATATTCTGTGTTCCGACCTCTGCGCTGGTTGCTAACCGACTAGCCGACTAGCCGTTTCATCGCATCTTTGTCGCGCTCATTTCTCATACATACCCATTCAAACACTCGCTTTCGATAAACCGATAGGTAGCAAACGTGCGTGCGACGCGGACGAAACCGCTTTTTCATACAATATATAGGGTGTAACAAAAATGTTGCAGGTGCTTGAAATGGGTAATTCGTTAGGCGATTTTTACGAGCTTTGTTAACGAGCTATTAACGAAAAACCCCATGTAATCAGAGCTCGGCCGGCAAACTCGCGCTCTGATTGGACGGGATTTTTCGTTAACATTTTTGCTAAGTAAAAACTTGTTCCAAATCGCTTCACGAGTGTCAATTTAAGTACCTGCAACATTTTTGTTACACCCTATGTAGGGCGGGACACTTTTGGAAACTGCTACTTGTGAATCACTCGTAATTCGGTCACGTTCGTTCCCAATCACGGTGATTTTTCACAGTGATTCGTGATTTCTCGTGATCGTTTCTGATTAGTGGAGAAACCTAACAGTTCTTTACACACAACACATAATCTGTATGTTTTATATTAACGACATCAAAACAAAAATTCCAGTTATATCGTATAAAGTGAAGAAATAATTAGAAACAATGAAGAATAATGAATAAATTAATGATTATAAATTATAATCTACATGTTACCTAGCAAATCATTCTTTTAGAATTTCTTGTTTATCTACTGATTTTTACAAACACAAATAGTAATGTAATTCATCGTAAAATCATATTGAATACATTTTTCTGTTTAATGATCAAGAACTTACGATCGCAGTGACCAAATTCACTCAAGATAACAAAATCGCAATCGCGGTCGTAAATGAAGTTAAATCACGACCGTGATCGTGATTCGGTGATCACTGTGATAAATCACCGTTAGTGATTTTGCACGCCATCTCTACTGTTCACGGCGTGACTCGTGAGTGGCATTCAGCCACTTCAGCTCATTTAGCTCATTCAGCTTGTTCTGGCTTGTTCCATGTGGTTACATCGTTACATGTTCCATACCTTCCATATATAGAACTCTACATGTACAGCTTTTTAGTTTAACTGTAAATATATTTAATAGAACAGTGACTTAGTTTTTACTAATAATATGATTTTATATTTAAGTTTAATATAATACAATAATTGCATTGTCATTAGTCGTAGTTATCAGTGGTGTTATTATCGACAGTTATTAGTGGTAGTTCTGTTTACAGTAACTGACATGGCGAATAATTACTCGAACAAGAAAGTTGTTTTGTGTATGCAACAACGGCTGGAGATTTTGGAAGATTTGAAAACACAACCTCTTTCAACAGTTGCTGCAAAGTATCGTGTACACCCGACAACAGTTCGTCGCATAGTAAGAAATGCTGCACTCATTAGTGAATTTGCAGACAAGAGTAAGGAACAGAGAAAACGACGAAGACTTAAAAAACCATTGTGTGAAGAACTGGATCACATTATGCTGACATGGGTTGAAGAAAGAAGGGCACTTAGGGATATCCTATCAGATGCTATACTTTTAGAGAAAGCTACCGAAATAAAAAAGAATATCACATCATGTTCATCTGCCAGAGTGAGTAAAGGTTGGCTTGCGAATTTTAAAAGACGCAACAACATACACATAGTCAGTGGATTTCGTGACAAAGACAGTGTTGATGTGAATGCAGCAAGGATATTTGTAAAAGATTTTAAAAAATTAATAGATGAAGAGGACATAAATGTTGAAAACATTTATAACATGGATGAAAGCAGGCTTATGTGGAAAGCTCTTCCTACGAAAGTGCTAGCAAAATTCAAAGAAGAGCGCATCGGTGGCTTCAAAATCAGTAGTGAGCGAATTACAATAGCATTATGTGCAAATGCATCAGGAACAAACAAAATTACACCCTTTGTAATATATAAATACCAGAATCCAAGGTCTTTAAAAGATTGCAAAGACAGCCTTCCTGTCATTTTTAAATCACAGGCAAATGGCTGCATGGATCAGTCATTATTTATAGATTGGTTTGAGAATCACTTTAAGCCTAATGTAAGGGCATATCAACTACATAAACAAATATGTGGTAAAATTATTTTATTATTGAACAATTGTGAGGAAGACAAAGTTCCAGTAGATATACAAGAAGATAATTATGTCAAAATTATACATCTACCACCTCACACGGACTCACTTATACAACCCATGCATCAGGGGATAATACAGAAAACTAAAAGACTTTTTCGTCATGGAATGCTGCAGAATCTTTTAAGGTATGATAGAGGGGTCAAAGAATTTTATAAAGACTATACCATTAAAGACTGCATAGACATATTGCACAAATCATGGACAGAAATAACTTCTGATAACATAAAAGCTGCTTGGAATGAAGTTATTACAGTATCTATTCCAAATTTTGAGGAGATTGAAGAAATGGATTCACTTCAACATGAACTGCAAGATATGATCAGCACCATTACTGGAGAAAAATCTACGCAGGAACATGTCACAGAATTTTTATCTGCATGTGAGGAAGTAGAAAGGAGAAATTTTATTTTTATCAAGGAGGAAAAGATAGAAGAGGAAGGAAGTGAAGAAAAAGAAAATAACAATCACAACAAAGATGAAGAAGATGATGCAGAGAAGGAAAATATTGATGACAATAAAGGTGAAGACAATTTCGAAGAACAAAAAGAACTACTTGTTGGAAGAGGTCCAAATGAAGATACTAGAAAAGAATTAAAATATTTATTTGAAGATCTAATGTGTTACAGTGCAAAAGCACCTCAGCATATACAGCTAATAGTAAAGTGTTTAAAACAATATTTTTTAAATGAGGCAAATGGGTAATGGGTTAAACTTTACTTTCCAGAACCACAGGTTAATGTCATTTTTACACCTTTTGATAGCATTCATCAAGTGGGTTATATAAATACAACTTTTAAGTTTAGGAATCCACTGGTTCAAATGTTATGAGTATGTAAAACCAAATATTTTTAATGTACTTTACAAATTAATTTAATACTATAGTGGCTTCTATCTAATTGATGTGCACAAGTGAGCTTTAAAATGGTATACGACCAACATTTTACTGGGGGTATCAGCAATCGCAAATATCCCATTCAGATAATATAGACCAAAAATAATGTGTTTAACACTGGGTGGTGTCTCATGGAATGTTGGGTCTCTGGTTAACCCTGGATTGTGCTCAAGAGCCCAAGTAACAACTGCTTCCTTTGAATTTGGTAAAATGGACACATTTCATTTCAAAGAAATCATTTCAAAATAAAATACAACAAAGACGAAATAAATTGAAGCAAACAAAAAATACAATGACAAGAACATAAATGAATTTTGAGATCATAAGTGAACACTGTGAATGTATTGGAAAAACTACAGGCTACAGCCATTTCAGTTATGTCAGGGCGAATAAGCGAAACGCGTGAAAAACAATTGCAAGCACATTTGACTTATCCTGTCAAAATAGGTCATCACCCTCGTGCATGGCTTTACAGTTAGTGACACCACCATTGAGCTCTATCCTAACTGGAGAGTGAACTCCTGTGCGGAATAAGTAGAGGTGACAGCGGTCCGAGGGAAATGGGAAATATGCGGTGAATCTATCCTTTTCCTTCCTATTAGTACTATTTTGTAGTACGTTGTGTGTAGAAAGTAGAGGGGGTACAGACGCTACGTCGTGATCGGTGCATATGTGTAAGACTGAGATAGAGTCACCGCATATCTTCCCTCTCTGTCGGACCGGCCCCCATCCCACAGTTCATACTCCAGTTAGGGTAGAGTGTCGCAGAGCTCAATTGACATCACTCATTGCACGAATTATGGATAGAAACCAATATGATGATAAATTAACCTGTAAAGTGCACTAAAGATACTTGGCCTTACATACGCATAACTTTTGAACCGGTGGATTTCCAAACATAAAACTTGTATTTTTAGATTTCACTCGTTGAATAATATCGGGAGATATAAAGAAAGTCAATCATGTTTGGTCTGGCAAAGTAATGGTCAGCCATTGTGGGGGGGGGGGCTACCCTTTGAACTTGTCAAGTGAGCAATGTACGTGGTGAATCTCTCGCTGCTAAGGTAGAAAGTCAAGCCGTCTGTTTTATTACCTAAAAGACGCTAGCTACTGCTCATCGGCCTGTGTGTGTGACTGAGACAGAGTGAATGTCGGTTCTCGGTCTTTCTCTGTCACACACATAGAGTCTGATCGGCAAGGGTAAGCTTACTACAGATTGGAGATCATGACGTCGAACGTGTTTGAAAGATACACGTGATACGTGCAATTTAAAATGTCCGTGTTTAGTCCGTGTAGTTTGTAGTGCACTGATACACGAATAGTGAAATAAATACATAACAAAACATAAAGACACGGAGAATGCGGTCATAGATACCCAACTATTTTCTGATTTACAGCATCTGTATCGCTTTCCCATGATAAATTGTTAACATTTCATTTGACCACCTCGGTATTTTGTAGTTTTATCACCTATCGTAACATGTAGGAAGATATATATATATATTTTACACTATCTACATTTTTTTAATGTTTCCGAAAATGCCCTATATTTTTGAAACGTGCATTTTAATGGTGAATATTCAAGGAATCTAATGGTCTTTTTTTCAAATTGATCCATGCGTGGGAACAGTGTCAAATCGACATTTGAAAATTTAACTTCAATTATTACTATATTTATTAACAATAAACAAAATTTATTGCAGGCATTTGGAAAAAACATTTCTTCGGCTTCAAAGTAAGTGCAAAATCAAAGCTCTGTGTTCAAAAATAACTAAAATGTTACGGATGAAGCGATGTTGTGTCGGTTGATTTCATTCAATTTTTGAGAACTTTAACTTTAAATATCTCGGAAACGGTTCGAGATTGGAAGCTAAAATTTTGCACACTTCATGTTTTCGTAATTATCAACAAATGCTGTACATTTGAGGGAAAAATGGGTGACTAGGTATGACCGCAATTCTTAAACTTAAACTTTATGGGAAGCTCGCGATTGGTCCATTTTCGTTACGACCTGTTACGTTACAGTGTTGCGGTCTTTTCCAGGGATTATTTTTTGATTGAAAAGTCAAGCGTGAATCCTCGGCCGTGAAGCCCTGAAGAACTCAGCTCGTGAAGAAATTTTGGACATCTTCAAAGGAGATAACTTTGATTGCAAAAAAAACACGTCTTTACCGATCGAGGGTTAATACTGGAATGGACTCCATTACAAAACGATTGCTTTTGTTACATTTGTTAATTACAACATGTCCTTAGATACCAGGAGCCAATAAAATAATTATTAGATTATGAAATAATTTCTGATTTGCTAATACATTTTCTTCAGCTATTGATTTTCTAATTTTCAAGTGTTTAACATATTTGCCATGATTTAATATACTTTGGAGAAGGAGTAAAAGCGAAATTCAATTGTTAAACCATGCGTTCCTAATAAAATATTAATTAATTGAAATATGCCTTTTAAAAGGATACAGGGCTGATTTCAGTTACTTTCAAATAATGCCAGCTTCAGTTCCACCTCCTTTTCTAATTACAATCATATACCATAACTTAATTTGAATTTCACGCTTGTGAAGCTTACGCTAGACGCCGCTGTAAAATGAGAGCGAGATTCACATAACGGCAAATGCAGCGATTATGTATATCGAAATTTCGATATTTATGGGTTAAGTATCGATCAACGTCGATACTGGAATATGTCGTCAAATTAAATATCGTTACAAAATATTGATATTTGAATTGAAAAGTATCGGTATTCGTAATATTGATACTGTATCGCCAATCAGTACCGCGTACGCGTGTATTAAAAACTACTCGGACTGAAACGCAAATACATTATTAATTACATGTGTAGGTTGTGTCCCAATTACAGAAGCTTTAAGCCAGTTATGCAATGATATATTAAAAAATACTGCTACATGAACTTCGTATTCTGAAAATCAATATCTGTTGCTAAACAATAATTCCTTCTTATGAAGGAATTTTTTTTTAAATAAGAAAATTAAATCTGTAATATATTTAATGAAATAAAAACAGATGTGTTTATCTATATTACGGAGTCCTTTCAATAGCTACACATGTATTTCGGAGGCTGTCCACGTTTGGTGCTTTAAATGTCGCTCCTAACCTAGCTTTTTCGAAGCAGGGCCTACTTTGTTCCAAATATTGTTGTATTGTGGTAAATCATTTAATAAAAATAAAACACGTAATTATGTAATAAATTTAATTGATGTATTATTTAAAAAAATGTAATTACTAATCTCAGTAATAAAAAGAAAAATTATTTAAACTAAGTGTTTAAAACTAACTGATTAAATATTTATTTCTTACAATTTATTATAAGATAACAAATGTTTACAACATTATGATAACATTAGTTGTATCTAAAACAATTTATAAATTAGTTAATAATATTTTATAATAACTATACATAGTTAATAGTATATTGTGTCTAACAAGCTTTCTTTCCCTCTTCTCCTTCCTTCTTCTTTATCATAGCATTTTCTGCTCAAATCTTTTTCTTCAACTTTTCGTTTGACGTATTTATGACATAATAAATGGAAGTTTCACCTTACTTATCCTCTTTCTCTTTGAAGTTTTTTCTATAGACCAAAGTAAAAACTTTTGAAACTGAGAAGCAGTATTTGCATCTAGTAGAGCCCACTGGAGTCCACTGTACTGTATGAAGGTATCGATACTTACTCGGATTGAATTATATTTTCCTAACCTTGATACGCAACACAAAAGTTCGTTATACCTTATTGAGAGAAAATAAAATACAATACTATACTTGATACATTTATTTAAATATTTAATATAAAACAAACATATGTATAAACTATATACAATACACGTAATATATGATATACATAATAAATAAATAAGTACCCTCGCAAGCAAACTCGGCTTCCGCTAGGGGAAAAATCAGTGTAAGAGAAGGGCCTTCTTATTCGGAAGGGCTTTCTACCATGCTCCTACCACTTGATAATGGCAATTACTGAAATGTATACCAAATTAACATTTGATTTAACTTTAAGAAATGGTAGGAGGCCTTTCTCACACGCCACTTTTTCCCCTAGTGGAAGCTGAGTTTGCTGCGAGGGTTCCTTGATCCATACATAGAACTGCATAGAACTCATCACTCTACATCACCCTACATAACTCTACATTTATCATTATTTCTGTTTAACTGTAAATATATGTAATAGAACAGTGATTTAATTTTTACTAATAATATGATTTTATATTTAAATTTGGTATAATATTTACAATAATTGCATTGTTAGTAGTCGTCGGTATCAGTGGTGTTATTAGTGGCAGTTATTAGCGGTAGTTCCGTTTACAGTGACTGACATGGCGGGCAATTACTCGAACAAGAAAGTTGTTTTGTGTATGCAGCAACGGCTGGAGATTCTAGAAGATTTGAAGACACAACCTATTTCAACGATTGCTGCAAAGTATGGTGTACACCCGATGACAATTCGTCGGATCAGAAAAAACGCTACACTCATTAGTGAATTTGCAGACAAGAGTAAGGAACAGAAAAAACGGCGAAGACTTAAAAAACCAATGTGTGAAGAACTGGATCACCGTATGCTGACATGGTTTACAGAAAGAAGGGCACTTAAGGATATCCTATCAGATGCTATACTTTTAGAGAAAGCTGCTGAAATAAAGAAGAATATCACATCATGTTCATCTGCCAGAGTGAGCAAAGGTTGGCTTGCGAAATTTAAAAGACGCAACAACATACGTTTAGTCAATGGATTTCGTGACAAAAATAATACTGATGTGAATGCAGCAAGAATATTTGTAAAGAATTTTAGAAAATTAATAGAAGAAGAGAACATAAATGTGGAAAACATTTATAACATGGATGAAAGCAGGCTTATGTGGAAAGCTCTTCCTACGAAAGTGCTAGCAAAATTCAAAGAAGAGCGCATCGGTGGCTTCAAAATCAGTAGTGAGCGAATTACAATAGCACTATGTGCAAATGCATCAGGAACAAACAAAATTATACCCTTCCTAATATATAAATATCAGAATCCAAGGTCTTTAAAAGACTGTCAAGACATACTTCCTGTCATTTTTAAGTCACAGGCAAATGGCTGCATGGATCAATCATTGTTTATAGATTGGTTTGAGAATCACTTTAAGCCTAATGTGAGAGCATTCCAACTACAGAAACAAATATGTGGTAAAGTTATTTTATTATTGAACAATTGTGAAGAAGACAAAGTTCCGATAGATATACAAGAAGATGATTATGTCAAAATTATACATCTACCGCCTCACACAGACTCACTTGTACAACCCATGCATCAGGGGATAATACAGAAAACTAAAAGACTTTTTCGTCATGGAATGCTGCAAAATTTTTTAAGGTATGATAGAGGGATCAAAGAATTTTATAAAGACTATACCATTAAAGACTGCATAGACATACTACATAAATCATGGATACAAATAACTTCTGATAACATAAAAGCTGCTTGGAATGAAGTTATTACATTATTTACTCCTAATTTTGAGGAAACTGAAGAAACAGATTCACTTCAACATGAACTGCAAGATATGATTAGCACCATTACTGGAGAAAAATCTACACAGGAACATGTCACAGAATTTTTATCTGCATGTGAGGAAGTAGAAAGGCGACATTTTATTTTTATCAAGGAGGAAAAGATAGACGAAGAAGAAAGTGAAGAAAAAGAAAATAACAATGACAACAAAGATGAAGAAGATGATGAAGAGGAAGAAAATATTGATGACAATAAAGGTGAAGACAATCTCGAAGAACAAAAAGAACTACTTGTGGCAAGAGGCCCAAATGAAAATACTAGATATGATTCAAAATATTTATTTGAAGATCTAATGTGTTATAGTGCAAAAGCACCTCAACATATACAACTAATAGTAAAGAGTTTAAAACAATATTTTTTAAATGAGGCAAATGAGTAATAAGTTTAACTTTACTTTCCGGGACCAAAAATTAATGACTTTTTCACACCTTCTGATAGTATTCAACATGTGGATTCTACAGATATAATTTTTAAGTTTCAAAATCTACCGAATCAAATGTTATGAATATGTAAAACCAATTATTTTTAATGTACTGTATAAGTTAATTTAATACTATACTGTCTTCTATCTAATTGGTGTGCACAGGTGAGCTTTAAAATGGTATACGACCCACATTCATTAGAGGGTATCGGCAATCTCAAATGTCCGATTCAGATATTATAGACCAAAAATAATATGTGTGTAACACTGTGTGGTATGTGGTGGGATGTAGGGTATCTGGTTAACACTGACTGGTATCTCGTTGAATGTTAACACTGGATGGTGCTCACGAGCCCAAGTAATAGCTGCATCCTTCGAATTTGATCAATCGAACAGAATCCATTTCAAAGTAAAATACAACAAAAATAAAATAAAATAAAGCAAACAGAAAACGAAAAAAAAGAGAAAATAAAATGAAAGGAGCATAACTGAATTTTGAGGTCATAAGTGAACATTCTGAATGTACTGGAAAAACTGCAGGCTACAGACCATTTGACTTATTCTGTCAAAATAGATCGCCACCCACGTGCATGGCTTTACAGTCAGTAACACCATCATTGAGCTCTATCCTAACTGAAGAGTGAACTCTTGTGCGAAGAAGTAGAGGTGACAGCGGTCCGAGGGAAATGGAAAATATGCAATGAATCTATCTTGTCCCTTCTTATTATCCCTTCTATTTGTACCATTTTGTAGTACATTTGTGTGCACAGAGTAGAGGTGGTACAGACGCCACGTCGCGATCTGTGTACACTCACGAGCAAACTCGACTTCCGCTAGGGGAAAAGTGGCGTAGAAGAAGCGTCTCCTTATCACTTCGTAAGTTTATTTCAAGTACTGAAATAAATGTTAAACCGAATGTTAATTTGGTACAAATTTCAGTAATTCCCGATACCAAGTGGTACGAAGTTCTTCTTCCACGCCACATTTTCCCCTAATGGAAGCCGAGTTTGCTCGTGAGGGTACATACATGTGTAAGACTGAGATGTCACCACATATCTTCCCACAGTTCATACTCCAGTTAGGGTAGAGCTGATAAAGCTCAATGGACACTGATGGACACCAACATTGCACGAATTATGGATAGAAGCCAATATGATGATAAATTAACCTGTAAAGTACACTAAAGATACTTGGCCTTACATACGCATAACTTTTGAACCGGTGGATTTCCAAACATAAAACTTGTATTTTTAGATTTCACTCGTTGAATACTATCGGGAGATATAAAGAAAGTCAATCATTTTTGATCTGGCAAAGTAATGGTCAGCCATTGTGGGGGGGGGCTACCCTTTGAACTTGTCAAGTGAGCAATGTATGTGGTGAATCTCTCGTTGCTAAGGTAGAAAGTCAAGCCGTCTGTTTTGTTGCCTAAAAGACGCTGGCTACTGCTCATCAGCCTGTGTGTGTGACTGAGACAGAGTGAATGTCGATTCTCGCTTTTTCTCTGTCACACACATAGAGCCTGATCGGCAGGGGTAAGCTTACCACAGATTGGAGATCACGACGTCGAACGTGTTTGAAAGATACACATGATACGTGCAATTTAAAATGTCCGTGTTTTAATCCGTGTAGTTTGTAGTGCACGGGTACACGAAGAGTGAAATAAATACATAACAAAACACAAAGATACGGAGAATGCGGTTATAGTCACCCAATTATTTTCTGATTTACAGCATCTGTATCGTTTTCCCATGATAAATTGTTAACATTTCGTTTAACCACCTCGGCAATTTGTAGTTTTATCATCTATCGTAACACGTAGAAAGATATAAGGGTGTCCCGAAAAGATGGATATTCCTCATGCAAATACAAATCGAAAAGTCCTTTACTATTTTGTAATGTGATGTAAGCGAACTCACACGTATACGCGTAGCGCAGCAAGATGCGACGACGAAGTACTGGCTGGCCTCTTCTTGAATGTGTCGACGCGTACGTGTGCCCACCGCTCAGCTGATAGTTAACTGCTAAGTCGTATTCGTTTAACTGCTAGTATCTCGGGAATGGAGCTTCAAATTACAAAACGGTAAAGGACATTTCGATTTGTATTTGCATGAGGAATATTCATCTTGTGGATTGTCCCAACTTTTTGGGGTACCCTGTATGTATATTTTACACTACATAAATGTTTCTAATCTTTCCGAAAATGGTCTATCCTTTTGAACAGTGTCTTTTAATGCTGAAGATTCAAAGTCTCTAATGGTATTTTTTCCAAATTGGAATCCATGTGTGAGAACAGTATTAAATCGGCATTTGAAAATTTACCTTTAATTATTAGTATATTTATTAACAATAAACAAAATTTGTTGCATGCAGTTAGGAAATGTATTCCTTCAGCTTTAAAGCCAGCGCAAAATCAAAGCTCTATGTTGTGTCGGCTGATTTCATCCAATTTTTCAGAACATTAACATTAAATGTTTTGGAAACGCTTCGAGATTAGAAGCTAAAATTTTACACACTTCATTTTTCCATGGTTATCAAAAAATGTTGTATGTTTGAAAAAAAATGGGTGACGGGCTATAACCATGAATGGATCGTACACCCACGAGCAAACTCTGCTTCCTCTGGGGGCAAAATCAATGTTGGGGTTAGGGCCTCCTACTGCTTGATAAATTTATTTCAAATAGTGAAATAAATGTTAAACCGAATGTTAATTGCGCATAATTTTCAATAACTCCGAGACCAAGTGGTAGGAGGTCTTTTCCTTACATCACTTTTTCCCCTAGCGAAAGCCGAGCTTGCTCGCGAGGGTACCCGTGTTCTAGTGATGGCGATACATTTGAATTTTATTGACATTTGGTATCGATACGTATTGATAATCACAATCAGAGTATCGATACACTTGTATATCGGGAATAAAATATCGATATTATCGGCATCGATACTTGCAATTAAATTTGCAGTAATAAAATCCAGAAATGAAAATAAATCATTTATTTAAATTTAAACAGATATGAAAAGAAATCGACTAATTGCAAACATTATGGGAAGCTCGCGATTGGTCCATTTTCCATATGACCTTGTTGTTACGTTATATTGAACGTATATTGAAATTTCGATATTTATGGGTTAAGTATCGAAACTGGAATATATCGTCGTGAATTGAAAAGTACCCATATTCGAAATATCGATACTGTGCTTAAGCATTTGCTTAAGAATAAGTAGTGACTATGAATTCCGGCCTGTATCGCCAATCACTACCGTGTACGCGTGTATTAAAAACTACACAAACTGAAACACAAATATATTAATTACATGTGTACACGTATATTTAGGTACACGGGAAATCGAGATCTCTACTACCCACACGGTCGTATATATAGGTCCGGAAACTCCCGCACAGAAGGTGATCCCTTTACATAGCCAGGTGTGCTTTCAAAATTTGCCACGAAGTGAGGGCACTACGATCGTATTATACAGAGTTCAGAATAATAATTAACACATTCGCCACATCATATGTAACTTATATATCCCTGTGGCGCATGCGCCTCTTCTTACTTTTAAAACATCTTAGCTAAGTGCATACGACCGTGCATTAAACTAATTAATTAATAATTATTAAATATTAATTAATAATTATTAAATATTAATTAATAATTAATAGTCACTATTTAATCAGTATTTTTTTTAATCTAACGCGACAGTGGCGCGAACTATCTCTATGTGCTTCCGCCAATGAACACAAAATTTTAAGATGTTTTTAACTTTTAGCGTCATGACATAGGTATACATGTGCAACACGTTAGTAGCGCTGAGTGGCTAGCGGAAGATTCACGAAACTGCTTGCTTCACTAAGAACACAGACGAGGTATAAGAGGAGACATTTCATGCAATGTATTTTTGCGGCCACTTTTCTGGGGTTACATACCCCATTTCCATTTTAGTGTCACTACACACATCAGATTCACCGTTCTCAAAACGTAGAGGTCGCTAAAATCATAGGCTTTTTAAGGTGTGGGTACTATAGTTTAGGTGGGCCACAAACTCTCATAAGATGAAAGGTCTATTCTTATACCTCGTCAGTGAAGGGATTACCCTCTCCACGGGAGTTCCGGACCTGTATATACGACTGTGATTACCGATACCACGATACACGTTTAGTGTCAGAGCGGGGGTAGCAAGAGATTCACCCTGTACAGGACCCTACGTATACTTACCTGACTGCGGTTTCATTAATGAGCCTTCAGTCAAGTCTAGTCGTGAAATCAGTCAGGGGTTCAGCTCCACGGAAGCTTTACCACCAACTTTAAATATACATACAGTTGTAATGTGTGTGCAATAATGTAATATCCCAGCGGCTTCCTTTTTACGATCTGATGGCTGTAAAACTGTAATACAATATACATAGTTCGGCGGCTGTAAAAGTAGTTGTCTTGTAAGTAGTATTGTGGCACGTGCCCCTTTTTCACTAACAAAAATCCCCTCAATTAATAACTCGGGAACGAAGCTCTGAATGCAATTTCGTCATTCTTGATTTTCGTCATAGTTTAACATGTAGAATCCACCCTCTGAAAGTATTTCACATTTTTACTAACACCCTGATCATACACAGGGTGGTTTACTTAAGGTAACCATCTTAATTACTCGTAAATTACTGGCTGTATGGAAAAATATTTTAAACAAAAATTGTGTGGTATCAGGGGGGACATATAATGCAATAATATGTTTTTTTACTATGTTACATTTTTATCGAGAACAGTCACCTTCAGTTTTTTTTAAATGAAAGACGAAATCTTTTTTCCCGAATTTCGATGAAGTATCAAATACTGCATAAAAAGGTATTATATTATGTAGGATCTAAAGGGGTAGTGAGCAGTTTCTGAGATATCAGTAAAATACGTCTTATTTTAAATAGTGTTCGTACTGGCTTTCTGAACTAACTCCACAAAGGTAATGAGGGTTTTCTATTGGTCAGTATTACATTATTTCTTAAATTCAGAATGCATGTTTATCTGTAAATAGAATATTCGGTGAAAAAAAGTGAAAAAAAAACGAATGCGAGTGAGATACCGATACCTAACATGAGAACGTGGTCTCGAATAGGCAGCTTATAGTAGACTTTTTTATTATCATTTTTGTAATGAAATAAGCTTAGTTATTGCGTACGTAATAATAAAGAAATATGGTCCAAATTATGTCATGTTTGGTTTAATTTTAATCGGAAGAATCTCACAAATATGTTAAGAAAATTTATTATTATGCAGTATGTGATACTTTGTCGAAATTCGGAAAGAAATATTGGGCATTCCATTTAAAAAACTGAAGGTGAACGTTATATCTTGACAAAAATGTAACATAGTAAAAAACATTATTGCTTTATGTCTTCCTTGACACCACGCAACTTTTGTATAAAATGTTTTTTTATACAACCAATAATTTACGAGTAATTGCGATGACTACGTTAGGTGAACCACCCTTATATGTTAATAATTATAGTAGTACATAACTTTCACTCCGTACCTAGCGGGGTAACTGGAGTCCTCTCGTACAATAGAAAATAATTAGACCACTAAAAAATCTTAATGTTTAAAGTACTTTTGTGTGAAAGTAGCTGAAGGTTAGCGGCTAATATTGTATAATTTCTTTAGAAACAGCGTTTTCTACATCTTGTATCAAAATTCACAATGCCCGTTTTGGTCGCGGTCAGCCTTTGCCAGATATAGAATTCTGGCTTACAAAATTACGCATATTTAAATATTGGTTAATTCTTGTTTAAAAGATATTTTGTGTCGAAACTTTTATGACACTCAGCATGATTACAGTAAAAATAAAATATCATTTTATTACTTTTTTGCTACTCGTAGTTTCATTGATTCTTCAGTTTTGGCTTCATTATTCTGCAGTAAAACAATTTTATAAAATGTAATTATTGCAGTTAACGCAGATGAAACCGCAGATTAGAAACAGCTGAAAGCGCCAGTCAGAGAGGAGTGTTGGTTGCGTATTTGGATATTCCAATTAATCCGATAAATTTGGACACGCGTGATAAGTTCACGTAATGCTCCAGTGATGCAGGCAGTTTGGATGAAGACTGTTGCATTTTCGAAATTTCATGCTTTACATATTTACCATAAAAAATTGAAGATCGTAACAATAGGAGTTTCATTTACGCGAGCGCTACGTATGTGCATCGGTAATGAAAACAAAATAAGAAAAGAATAATTACTATTAAATATTAATTGTAATTAAAGATAAGAATGGTAACAAAACTATGATTAGTTGTAAATGTACGTTTTTGTAATACCTATTTATCAAATTATGACATGTAATAAATATATTCAATGTAAATATATTGGTATTTCATTTGAAGTTTCACCGAAAGAGCGAGATTACTGTTTAGAATCCATACAGACCGATAGAAAAAATATTCACAATCATGTAAAACGTTATGACGAGGATACAAGCTGTAGCGGAAATATAATTTTATTTTTTAATTTATTTCTACAAATCTTCCAGAAGTTACTAAACTTTTAGAATAACAATAAATATTTAATAACTTCCTATAATTTACAATTTATATGCAATCCTCGCTCACGTCACATAGCGACGCATACAACATATCGTAAGCTCCAGAGGCGCGAAGTTTGAATCAAATGACACCTGTAATAGGAAAAAAGGGTAAAGGTAAAGTTGACACTGATTGAAGACATGTGAAATCTGTAAGAGATCCTTGTAATAAACGCATTTCAAGATTATAAATTAATCAATATTCACTTATAAACGAATGTTTAAACATTTGCCAGTTGCCTTTGTCTCCTATCCTAGCACTCAAAATCATTGCAGAGATGTAAAACGCCGGGGAAGAAACGCATCGACGAATCAGGATAAATCTTGGAAATTTATAATTATAAGATTGGTCAGTAGTTGGTAGTAACTAAGAACATTTTGTAATTAAACAAAAAGTGTATAAAGGAAAATGAAAAGAAAAACATTTCGACGACGACGTTAAAAGAGTAAAAACGTGTAATTCTATCCTTTTCAATTAAATTCGTGTTTTTCTTTATAAATAGTTGAAATCATTTATTGGTATTGTTTAATTATAGTTCCCGAGTTTATTTGAATCTTAATTATACTTTATTATTATCGTTATTATTTTCTATTTATGTATAATTATTCATAAATTAATCGCATTTCGCGAACCCAGTGCCTTAGCGCTCCACGGACACCAACTCACGCCTAAATTCTTCGGGACGCAAGATTCCCTAAGAGACCACGCAACAATATAATTTATACAATGTCTAGACCCTAGACTCTTTGATAGCAACTAAGGGAATGTTACAAACAAGAACATTTGGTAGAAAAATTGAATATTTTAAATTATCGGCGAGAATATACAACGAGAGCCATTTAGATTCCAGCGACGTCGGCTGACCAGATTCCACAAAGCCAAATATGTATCTCACACCCCTCCAAATGGGCCGGTAGGTTGATGAAACTTAGAAAGAGAGCAGGAGTTGCTTGATTTAGTCCGCGCAATGTTGATCTGTAGAATCTGTAGTTTATGCCTCTAATTGTTATATCTGTCAATCTTATTCTGTGAGTAATTTATGTCGAAAGCCCAATAAATTTAATCGGAAATAATTTAAATACATTGTTTGGTAATAAACAAAGTTTTATATTTATTGCTTGCAAAACTATGTTGAAGCCAAAAGCTCTTACACAAGTACTTAGTCAAGCGAATACAGGTGGAGTAGAAAATACATTGTGAGTAAACTATTATCTGTTACAAATAATATTTGGTAATGGTAAACTATCTGTTGCCAAGAAATACAGTGCATGAGATAGTGATATATATTTCTTATATGCTATAAAATTGTAATTCAACATATCACAGTATCATGACTTTTAACTTTAAATATTTGTATTAATATTGTAATATTCTATGGTTAAAATGATTTCAGATTATTAAACAGAGATGGTGGTTTATTAGCTTATAGTGGTTATGGAGATAAAGATGCAAGGGTAACTGCTGCAATTACAAGTAATATTTGGTCAGCTTATGAAAAAAATGGACGAAATGCATTTAAAGAGGATGAATTAAAATTTGTTTTAATGGATTGTGTGGTAATTATGAAATATTTTAATATCTTGTATTAAGTTTATAGTATAAGGATTTAGATGAGAATGTATCAATAACTCTACAAGCATAAATGAGTACAAATGATTCGAATGAATACTACATTTAAACGAGGTCATATAACAGATTACACAAATTTGGGGTTGTTTATATTTTTCATGATTTCAAAATTACATTGAACTGTTTTAAAAGAACTTAAATTGTATCCTATAAATAGAAACTACAGATAATATGGAAATATATTCATTTATGTTTAATGGATGTGAACTTCTCCTCTAGGAAATCTTTTTTTGGGGGGGTTAAAACTTATATTTATAGAAAATACTTGTTGTACAGACTTTAACGATACCAAGTTTACATTTAGGAATGGTTTCGTTGAAAAGTTATGAGGCAAAAACTGTTGTAAATTTTTTATGTTTTCTAACCTTTACTGTGATAGTTATGATGGTTGTGAAAGGGATACGAGTAGAGTAACTCTACTATATAGAGTTCATCTTTCACGTTTAAATTTGTAAACACAATGGTTGAATTGGTTAGACTTGAGTTATAGGTTTGTGTTTGTATAATAAATACCATTGCCCGTGTTGTTTTGTGTTTTTTGTTTTTAAAGCATTTTATTGATCTGAATTGGTTAGAGCTAGTTAAAAACAACATAAATACTGTTCAAAGTATTATACAGATTTGAGTTCAGTGAGTCACATTAAAGGTTAGAAAATACGTGAAAATTTCGGAGTCTTTTTTTGCTTAATAACATCTGTTAACCCTCGGAAGGTGGATATTTGCAGACATTTGTAGTATTCCTACGGTAGCAGTGTTTGGGTCTGTTTGAACCCCTAATACTTCCTACTTTTTAAACATTACTTTCGAATGCAATCATTCTAGATGATATGCTATTTTATATGACGAAATATGAACAACTTCTGGCTTAAATACGATTTATGAGTTGACGACTTAGATGGAGATTTCAAAAACTCGGGTCCATACGGATCCAGGCACTACAATGCTAAAGTTAAGAAGTTTAAAAAGTTGAACGAATAAACAAATGTAAACAATAATTTTTATAATCCAGTAACAAGAATAATTTATTAGTAAACATTTATTAATAAGTTATAACAATGAATTCTTTGTGAACATTGAACTTATGACAAAAGTCAGCTTTCATCTAATAAATTAAAGGTAATTCGGATATTTTGTAAGTTAAAGTAATCAAAATATATTTAATTATATACTATATTACTTTGTATAACATGGTGTTATATAATGAACCATAAAAATTAAAATGTACTTACAGAGTTATTGATGCTATTCTAATTGCATATCTTACCTTATATATGGTAACTGATGTATATTTGTGTTGATTTTATGATATTATTTAAAATTAATAACATTGATAATGTTGTAGAAGTCTGAGAATAAATTAAATATATTAAATTTTAATAGTACAATTTTCAAGTATTTTATCTAAATTATTGTAATAAAAACATTTAAATTATTGTTCAAAAATTTAGAGTTTCATGTACAAGAAAATTTTTAACTCATTATTGGCTATTTTTATGTTATGCCTGTGTAATATTTTTTATAATCATTCATCTTTCTGTTCTTTGCTGTAAATGGAAAATGAAGGGACATCTGAAAATAAAATTTTACTTTCTATAGGCGTGGCGCTTAACGTATTAACAATATTTAAGTGCTATTTTTACAATTTGTGGGTCTTATATATTATTTAACATATTCAGTAGATTATATTCAGAAAGACAAGGCCAATAAAGTGTTAAATATCACAAGGAAAAATTGAACTAATTTAGTCAGCATTACCTGAATTTGAGATATATAAATTAAAAACATTAATATGTCATTACAATATTTATTATTCTTTGATCCAACATAAAACTTACTTTTATAATGAATAGTATTTAATATCATTAATAGACTTGTACTCGTTAGAAGTATAAGCAAATACTTGCTTTTATATGGATACAAATTTTCTAAAGCAATACTGTTAAAATAATTATCCATATTTATTAACTTTGTATACATAGTACAAATTAATATTTTGACATCCATAATACTAAAAACTGTGAGTTTCTTGGAAGCATAGTTGGAGTGCAAAAGGTTATAATAGTGCATTTATAGAAGATATTTTCTAACGATGACAAATACTTAAAGAATTAAATACATATGTAATTATAAGGTATATTGTTCAGTTGTCAAACAAATCTTTTGTAGGAGGGGAAAGTGGTAATCACTGAAGTAGCAAATTTGTTGTTATGTTTATATGCAAAAGAAAATGTAGGATTTGGTTTACTAAGAGAAAAAGCACAAGCTCTAGCAAGATATCTTGATCAACCATTAAAAACAATAGCCAATATGCCTTGAACACCATACTTGTGTAAAAGTATTTCTCATCGACTGTGGTATAATATAATAATTATATATTCCAATCCTTATAATTTTTTGTAAGAACATATGATTTATACTACTCTGGAAATAATATATTTTTAATAAATTACAATTTGTCTATTAATTTAAGAACCTACCATGATGTAAATAATGCCGAAAGTACATAATTATGACTCTTTGTTACCATTCATACTTGATATTTTAAAAGAATTATATACAAATATAATATAAATAATTTCTTTACACTACATGTATAAAATTACTTTATTGTAAGAGTGGTAAATTCTTCTAATAATAAAAAGGGGTGATTGTCACGGACGACTGAGTACTTTAGTAACACTCTTGCACTTTCCATGTTGCTTGTACAAGACGTCATGTACTATCCGGGTTTGATCATTGTAAATTCGACTCTCTGGTATACAAGATAATATAATCTTACAGAAGATACATACCGACGTAATATACAGAAGGGATATTTATATAAAATTAAATATTACACGGGTATAATTTACATGGTAAACGGTCGCATAGTTTCAAAAATAATCACAAAGTAAGTAGTTTTTATAAGTATAATTCCCATAGTTTCTTTCATTATTTTATACCTACATACACACGTATGATACACGCACCATTCATACATATATTGTTTATTCACGTGAGCGATGTAAGAGTAAACCTCATCGAAACAAAATGACAAGACGAGATGTTTCCAGGTACGTGCTTAATGTTCAAGTATTTTTTCCAGGAAGAAGAAAGTCTACGCGTTTCATATCCAAAATTAATTGTTTTCAAATGTCACTCTATTATTGAGCTATTTTTAAAGAAAAGAGAAGTCTACCCAGATAACACATAACGCTTTCAAGATGGCTTAAAGGCGTTTCAGACCTAAAGCAGCCATAAAAAGGGTGCCTTCAAGGCGTCATGTGCTATCTGGGTAGTAAAATATCAAGGCACTTGTAACTTATTAGAATAAAGAAACTTAAACGAAACCTTTAAAATTTACAATTCCATTACAGTTTGGAAATAACCGTAATTTTTTAGTATCTATGATTCACAAATTTCTGTTCTTTATTCAATCTTTTTTTATAACGTGCAATATTCAATAATACACATAAGTTATATATTTTATTTATTGTATGTACTTTAAAGCTATCACTGAATTACAGAATTTATACTTAAAAACTTATGCGTGCATCCGAAAATATTCTTTAAGTAAATTATTAGTGTATAACGGAATATATACTTTCAGGATGATAGTTTTCATTTTTTTATCTAATTCTGCGCTTTGTTGTTATTCAATTATTTATAGGTTGACCTAAATCATTCACTAATATTTTAATTACATCTACATATCCAACCCACAGTCCAGAGCAATTAGCAAAGCTGCATTCATTTTTTTATATTTCATTATTATTTTATTAAAAGACAATATGGTTCACGCATGCTGTAATAACTGTTTAAATTTTGCGTCACAAGCTGCTACAAATGTATCACACTACCCCAAATGTCGTTCAGGAAAATAAAAGGACTGATCAGTAGAGATGGCATGCAAAACGGTCGTGATTTAACTTCATTTACGACCGTGATTGCGATTTTGTTATCTTGAGTGAATTTGCTCACTGCGATCGTAAGTTCTTGATCATTAAACAGAAAAACGTATTCAATATGATTTTACGATGAATTACATTACTATTTGTGTTTGTAAATCAGTAGAAAAAACAAGAAATTCTAAAAGAATCATTTGCTAGGTAACATGTAGATTATAATTTATAATCGTTAATTTATTCATTATTCTTCATTGTTTCTAATTATTCCTTCACTTTATACGATATAACTCGAATTTTTGTTTGGATGTCGTTAATATAAACTATACAAGTTATGTGTCGCGTCTAAAAAACTGTTATGTTTCTCCACCAATCAGAAACGATCACGAAAAATCACGAATCATTGTGGAAAATCATCGTTAGTGATTTTGCACGCCATCTCTATTGATGGATTCGCAACGGTTGAGGATTGAGTCCGCTGAACGCAGCCAATGTTACCTGATGTTACCGCAGGAGCCCAGCAACAGACTCGCGCTCTGATTGGTCAGGGTTTTTCGTTATGTAATATCTCGTTAACAAAGCCTCGGGAACTTTTTCGCTAAGGAAAAAGTTGTTACAAATCACCCCTTTCAAGGACTTACAACTATTTTGGAACACCCTGTATATTCATGTAAAATAGGATGAAATATTGTTTCGAAAGTGACTAATGTATACATATACATATGTAATATGTAAATGAAATAGATTTGCTTCTTAAAAGATAACTGATTTTTAAATACATATCTATATGAATTTTTTTCTTAATTTCACGCAGAGAACTCGTATCCAAAAGTTTGACCAACTTTTGTCGATACATCTTGTATAATTTCTATTGTTTCTACTACTAAACAATCATAAATTAAAAAAATTAGAAATTTATCTATGTTAATTCAAAATTTGCATATTGAGAGCTATTATATTTCTTCTCTTAATGTAACATTAATTAGTAATATCAAGTAGAATAATATGAACTTGCTATGTAAAAGAAAATGATACTTTGATTTTATGTAGTAACTTTGTGTATTTCAGGAAATAATAGAAAAAGATTTTATTCTCTTTCATTTGCAGGATAAAAAAAGTGATTAGAAGCCAATCAATACTTTGAAATTATCTGTTTATAATACAGTTCTGCGAGTCATATTAAATTGTTTAATATTATTTTCTTAGCAATACATTACTCTAATGTAAAAATGTAATTTCTTAATACTCTCATCAAAATGTTTCGCGTTTGTATTTAGAAAAAACTTCTTCCATGAGATTATCATACATACTTGTGTACAGACAATACATAATGTATGGTATATGATATATAATGTATAATATTTATCGTATTATAGTATATATTATAACATATTATATATTAAATATTATATAATTCTCACTGCGCTTATGACAATTTAATGTCTCATATATTTTTCTCTCATAATTAATCATTTTAAATATGAATATATTGTCTACAACGCTTCCTCAATAGGCCTTCAACAATTGACAACCTATGTTATATCTATTATAATGTACTTTTAATTTTGTATCCGCAGAAATAATATATTACAGCTTTACATATTTAGGAAAATTAAATCTTATCTAATGTAAGCATGTTCATTATGGATATACATAAACAAATAGACAGAAATAACAGTACAAACAGTAATACATCCTTTGATACAGTTTTACAATGTATTATTCGGATTGCATTATTGTAACAAAATATAGTGCGGTAAAAATTGAATGCATCTAAAAAATTACTTTTTAATAGTCTCAGATACTCATTATTATCCTTCGTATGATTTAAAATCTTTATAGAAATTCTATATTCGAGCGTCTTCGTTTTATACATTATCATGTATTATTAAACGATATATGTAATAAATTGCTTTTGTAGAAAATGAGTTTTTGTATGTTTCGTCCCAGGTAATTAAAATTATCATGCTAGATATATAAATATTATTTTACGTTTTATAGCGGCAGTGCAAGGTAAGTAATTTAGATTATATTATAATAAAGACACAATTGAAATAAAAAGTATTTCTGTACAATTTGATACAAAATAATAAACTATTTATTACTAGAGATAGTATGTATCTATATTCAGTGTAGAAATTTGTATGAAAAAGATTGCCTTCATGAATGCTATTGTCTCTTAAACTATTTAATGAAACTAAAACATAACTTCTTTCATTTTAAATAACAATTTCCTTAACAGTATTTAATGTTGGTAATAGTATATACTATATGTTACTATTTTTGTTCTACTATATTTTTTTTAAAAGACGATCATCATACTTTATTAATGGGATAGAAAATTTTACTTTAGTATTAAATTCTCCATTATTATAAAATGTATGATCCCATATTCAATTACTAAATACTACTTGTGCCACTGCAATCCACATCTATTTCTGTTAAATGTTAAAAAGAAATGTACTCATTAGGGTGTCATACTTTTGGTTCTTAAAGCTTGATCACATATTCTTACGTTATAGCTACATATCTACAAAAGGTATCATACCGTTGCATATTATGTGTTGTCTCTATTACCATCGTATAGGAAAATAACGTAATGCAGATTTACACGAACTTAAATACATTAATGTTGAAACAAAAGCAGTCTTCATCTTGTCGCTGCACAGTTGATTTAATTAAACGAAGTAAGGATAGAAAAGGACGGATTTAGAGATTACATGCGAGAACCCTTCTGCTGCAGAACCTAAAATACAATTTAATGATTGAAACTTAGAATAATATATTAAGGATTTTAAGTTAAAAACTAGACTTTTAAATTTAATAAAGCTAACGAATAAATACTTTTTTTTTATTCTGCAAAATTGTTCATTAAAGTTTGTAAATGAATGCACTTTAACATTGTTCAGCCTCTGCATTTTGTTATATAATTTTCTTTTCACTAAACGTTATATTAAAGTAATTTTACTGTATTTATAAGATCATTTTAATACAGAAATAATAATTTCTAAGTAATTATATATTACTTATATTTCCATATTTCCGTTTTTATTAATGTTTAATAATTCACTATTTTACAAAAGTATTCAGTATCTTTAAAAGAAAAGAACGGAATACACGTGAAATATTTCAAACATGCAATAACAAATCATGCAGGACACAGGGTAGAAAGTAACCAAACCAATGAAAGAAAAAATTCTTTATTCGATGACAGCATGCGATACAAAAATAACAGTATGGTACATATAGCAAACATCAGAGGCAGAACATGCTCATGCGAATTGGCCCCTGAATCGACAAAAACTAATACAAAGTGCTCTGATAATTAAAATAGAATCAATTATCAATAATAGTACAGTATTGTTTAAATCAGATTACAAAAATTATAAAAAATGAAAAATAGAAATACTTGTCAGCATGACCTAAACACTACAATATAAAGTACTTTGTGATATCTGAGAGTGTGCATTTTGTATCTACTATAAGGCACTCTTATATTTTTTTATATTACAAAACATATTATTTGTTTGACATTTTAAAAAAAAATAAATCTTGTGCATAGTAATATGAAAATGAAGTCGATTAAGCATTGTGACTTATAGAAGATCTTTACCACAACTTTAAAATGTATTTTTTTAAATTATCTTTGGTTTCTTAGTACATGTTAATTTATTGTAGTATTAATGATAAAATGGTAACAATTTGTGACTCGATTTATTCTAGTGTTTTCTTTCATTTGATCCATTTGTAATAAGACAGATTGTAACTTATATTTAAACAAAAGTATTAGTCTAGCTTTATTACAAATGAATTAATGACATTTATAAAAATAAATATAACAACGAAATATAATAATACTGATACATATCAGAGGCTCTTAAAATTTATCTGCCCAAGTTATTCCAGATAATCTGTTTACCATGGTTTTATTGTCACAATTACAAACATAAATAAACAAATACTGTGATTAAGTTTTCTTTCATGCAAGTATCAGTCGAGCCTCTGATATAAGCAAAATGTGAATATTTAATCATTAACATTACTAACACAAGTTTACGCTAAACTCTACAATATAATTGAAAAAAGAAAGAATAAATTCAATACTATATAAGTATTTAGTCAAACCATAAAAAGCTTATACATGATTGTTTTGGTTCAGAGAATGATGTGGAAGACTTGAATGCGATAATGATACCTTAACACGATCCGTTGATTCTTGTTCCTTGCTGTTGAGTTGACTGGCCCCATATTCACGACTAACCACACATAGAAATTCTGCATGATCGTCATTTCCATAATTATATTGAGACCCTATGTTGATTAACTAAAACAGTAAAATTTATATTGTTGTGATTTCCTAAATAAATATTAAACATGTAATTGTAATTTATTTAAATATGTAATAATTTTATTTATTAGATAGCAATTGATAATATGTTGTACTACTATTAAAAAACTAAACGACGTTTAGTTTAAATGAAACATTATACACTGAGTTATGTTGCCTAGCCACTCAGTTACAAAAAAAACATTTACTTGTAGTATCTACACATTAATTATTAATATGCGGATGAATCACTTAAATAGCAAATAATTTAGTATTAATTTCAATATTTCTGCTAAGAATAATACTAACATCAAGTATGTATATTTTGATGTTTTAAAAAGTGAAAAGTACCTGTTCAAACTTCCATCCATCAGACATTGTTGAAACCATTTGAGTTAATTCATCTTCGTGACATTGAAGAACTCTATAAACATGTTTCTTTGAATCTCGTAGTGGTCTAGTATCTCTTAATATAATTCTTTCTTTAACTAGCCGAATTAATTCTGTAATGTTATAAAATTCTGCTTCTTCTAGTACACCTTCCTCTGTCAAATCTTTATTAATCACTAACTTTCCATGACGTAAGTAATTTAAAACAGGACTAAAGTATGTTGGATCACGGTCTATTAAATATGCACCAGTTTCATCCTGTATTAAATAAACCAATTAAAACATTTATTTGTATATTTTTCATTTTTATAAGGGTCACTTCTTTTGATACAGAAAAAGAATAAATAAAATATATGTCTCAAAGAGGATACAATATTACTTGAAAAGTGTTTTAAAGTTCGCGGTTATCTTAAAACTTCAAACTAACCCTGTCTGAGATAAGATCAGAATCTTCTTGACACAGTCTATAGAGAAACGAATTAGGGTCTCTGGCTAGTGTAGTCTTTGCTGTCAAAAAATATGTTCCACCAACATTTAATCGAACCCACTGGTTATTACACCGTTTCTGAACATGATTTTCTGTCATTTCGTGTGAATTCGTGTCCGTAAAATCCGCCATATTTGCTTTGAAACTCGACTATATTTTAGTGTATATGGGTTTTCTGATAAGTCAAATCAATATCTTAATGTTGTATTTTTAAATATAAAAACAATTTCATAATGTTTTCTACAAATGAAATTTATGTAGTATGTTCTAAGTGTTAATATACTTTGGTTTCATTCAAAAACTAGTATCATTGTTACATTATACAATTTGCAGCGGGAAACCAAACAAAGTTATCAATTTGAAATTAATAAGTTCAAAAACATTTTTATTTCGATATGTGTTTTAAGCACAAGGATATTTTAATTTATGCATTCTACTGAGCTAAGTTCTAGTGATACTGAACAAATTAATAATTCAAGTTTTGTTAATACGGGACACAATTGAAGAAAAATATATCGAAGTTTTGGGAAGTGACAGGTGCTGTGCATCCGGCGAAATACAACTAAAGTCTCTACAGGAATCGATGTATGTATGTAAGGTAAACGGAACAAATGAAAATATAGCTGTTTATTTTGATGACGTAAAATGGTCCTTCAATTTTTCTAAAAGGAATTTAAGGTGGGTAGATTATTAAGAATGAAATTTTTTTAAGATACGCTGACTTAATTCGTTACGTAGAAATTACGATACCGTGTGTGCTGTTGGGTCTGGGTTCGAGGCTTCGTATAAATACATATGTACATCTACAATCTACATCCAGAAAATTACCGGCAGTCATTGCGAGAGTCTTGTGATGAAGAGTTCGTCGCCCAACAAGGGCAAAGTTTGAGAACGTTTGCTTGAGCCGAGAATGCCGGTGAAAGTTGACGTTGTCCCCCCACCGCCCGCAAACTCAAAGCAGCCGGGTGTCACAAAATCTTTGCTGTACAACGGTTCACGATTTCAAGGTTCTCAAAAGTCTAAAGGCAACAGTTACGACGTAGAAGTAGTTTTGCAGGTTAGTTTTTAGTCTTTCTGGAAATTACGCCACAAATATCCCAAATTTGTACTATACCTTTGACATCTGTCTGCCATTCAACGAGCGATCCTAAGTCTTTTTTTCCTAAATAAATCACAATTTTATGTTGTATTAGTTAATCGTATTGCTCATAAATGTATACTATTCAACGTTTCATATAACCTGTGCAGATAATTTTCAAAATACTATTTCCAACTTTCAAGCTCATATATATAGTTGTTCGAACATAATTTAGTATTCAAATTGTTATAAAAGGGATCCTAAAGAAAAGAAAAGAAAAAAAGCAATGAATTCCCCATAGAAAGATAGTACTTTAACATAATGTAAACTATAACACTACATAGTAGAAGAGAGAAAAAAAGAATTATAAAAATTACATCTGTGTTGTATGAGTTATAAAGTTAACCTTGTACAGTTAATCAAAGACATTTATTCCTCCTTTTACCTTGTTATTAAAGGTAGTTATATTTGATTTTTCGATTATTTTGTCCATACGTATGTTTCCTTTCATATTTTTTAAGCAATAAGAAACTAGTACCCCTTCATTATTGTAACAAAAATATGGTAATTGTCTTTTATTTTTCCTTGTAGTATCAACCATATATGACATGAAGAAAATGTAAATAATATTGCACTTGCTATTATGACTCAGTTCTGTTAGTTTGTGGTTATAGCTATACAGAACAATTTCCAAACAAACATATGTATTATTTCTACTTTATTTAAACTGACAAATTTTATGTCATACATATTAGGCTTGCTTCGGATATAAACCTTTATTTTAAAGTGACCTTAAAATGCGAGAAACTATTCATCTGTGGTATAATTTATTGGCGCAAAATAATACTTTTGATAATTCTCAATAAAACTGTTCTAAATTTATTTTTGATATTATTCTGTGAACTGTTTTCTATGAAAATCATATATTTTTATCACCAAAATAGAGGAAAATACCAAAAATTTTACAGCTTCAGTATACTTATAGCTCAATATGAATAATTACATTTTTCATTATGAATAAAGCCTCACACTGTTAGTTTCAATGTATAAGTTGTTTTCTCATACGATTGTTTCATTAGCATGATTGCAATTGTATTCCCTTATCTACATATTTAAAAATAAATTATGAAATATTTATAATAAACAATAAGATCTAGCCATTGGCAAAGTATTTATATTTCATATTTTGTTAAAAACTAGAGAGATATTGTTGATTGTTTTGCTTGTACCATTCATATACTTTGTGATCATTTGAAATTTTTTCCTTCATTTGTGAATGGCAATGTTTTGATATATCATTGGTACTTTTGGTAGTTTTATATAAGTGTGTACATCCGCATTTAAATCAATGCTTTTGTCAGCATGCTGCTTATCTTCCTCTATATGGTTACATTAAGCATTTATTTCATCCCTCTAACAGATAGCTTAGAATATGAAAAAGAGTGTACCGTTTCCAGATTCCATTGGGCTGTAGAGGATTAATGAAATAGATGTCATTGGCATAAACATTGACAGATTTAAATATTTGCTGAAAGTATTAATGTAAATATATTATTTGTATACGAGGAAAGTGTGAAACATTTTTTTTTTATTACAGCACGTAGATGAGGAAAACAGTTATTTATGTGGCTATCTAAAAATTAAAGGTCTCACAGAAGAATATCCAACTTTGACTACATTTTTTGATGGTGAAATTATATCAAAGAAATATCCATTTTTAACTCGTAAATGGGATGCGGATGAAGATGTTGATAAAAAACATTGGGTTTGTATTTCCTTGTGTATTTGACTTTATATTTCCATTAATTTCTATTATTATGTGTGATTTCTTTATTAATAATTTCAGAGCAAATTCGAGTCGTTTTGTCAGTATGCCAAAACTTTTAATTCAGACACATTCGATTACGAAGCTCTGAAGGGAACTGATTTTGTTTTTATGAGATGGAAGGAACATTTCTTGGTTCCCGATCATACTATTAAAGATATCAATGGTGCCTCATTTGCAGGATTTTATTATATTTGCTTCCAAAAATCTGCTGCTACAATTGAAGGCTTTTATTATCATCGTAGTTCTGAATGGTAATGTTCTTTTATACACCAAGTAAAGAATATTTTTACCATAATTAGTTGTACATAGGAATATCAAAAGTTGCAAATGTTTGCTCCATATGATTTATGTTGTAGAATACAGAAAATTAATAATACTTTGTTCATTGTAGTCATAATACCATTATTGAATGTTATATTCTTTTTACATTTTCATATTTTTTATCTACGCTCATGTTTATACATACATTTTATTGTATATACATATTTATGTGTTACAACTTTTAAAAAACTTGAACAAATTTTCATTATTTCAGGTATCAGTCTCTGAATTTAAAACATGTTCCAGAACATAGCATACAGATCTATGAATTCAGGTGAAACCAATAGTTTCGCACAATCCGTTTCTTCGAATTCATATTTCTCCTCCCTAGCACACAGATCTCATAAAAATCATCTCAGAATTAGTTTCTCAATTTAAATGTCTTTTTAAATTGTTTACTTTAATTGAGATACTTGATAATAAAGTATTTCATATGTTATTTTTTACGCTAATACATAATATATGGTGCATACTGTATGCTGTTTATTTCCTATACATATTAAACACGTCCTGAAGAAAAAAAATTGCAATTGACAGGTTGAAGAGGATTGCAGTGCCTCAGAGAGATACGCTTGATTACAAATTAATTATTATGAATATTCATTGTAAGATGTTTTATTAAAATAAATTAATTGATGCCTTTTATCAATTAAAATTAATGTTGTCAGTTATTTGGTACTCTTATATTTTGTAAAATTGTAATATCGTTTGTAGTATTACGTGGAATGTATTCTTTAGTTTAAGTAAAGTACTATTTTTCATATTTCTCTTAATTGAATAACAAAATGTATAGTAAAAATGGAAAATTTCATATGCACTTAATGAAAAAATATGAAAATTAATTTAAAGTTATTTAAATTTACTGTTTAATAAACAGTGTTTCTGATCAGACTAGGTATTACACTCGGATCTGTTTTAAAAGTGTACAAATTTAAGCATAATAAGGTGTATGTACTATGAATTAAATTTTGGATTTATGAGATCTGTCTGCCTTAAGAAAATAGAAGGATGCCGAATGAAATTGTGTAAATGTACTAAGAGAAGAAATCAAATGGAAACATGAGAGGAAGTTTAATATTATTTTGTGATGACAGAAGTTTTATCTGGTGTTTCTTTTTAATGTCAGTATAACGATTAAATAAATTGTAAGTGAGAATAAATTATTCTGTCTTAAGAAGAACGTTACGTAGTGAAAAGCGTTTCTCTGTCTGCACTGTTATTGCTTAATTTCTGTAATAATAATTACTATGCAGTATGTACAAATACGTTCGATAAAATTCTTGGTCATAATAGTATGCCAAGTTATTTTTTAGCGAGCTTTTCTACGTAATGTTCTTGTTAAGTTAGACAATTTTAGTAGGACAAACGAACAACACACACTCTATGAATATTAAAAAGTTGGCTGTTTGTAGAACCGGTAATACAATGTAATGGTAATGAAATATTGGATCAGTAATTGACATAGAAGAACATAATAATGAGGCTAATTTAACTGATATAGTAAGTTAAGAGTGTAATTAACATACAAATATACTCTAAAAGATTTTTATATCGCAAGAGATTAAAGATTATTTTTTCTCATGCAAGAGATTATAATGAATCTCACCTTAAAAGCGTGGACGTCATTATTTTAAAATTTCAAATCATTATATAATATTTAATGTTACCAGATTAGTAAAACTTGTCCATTATTACGGTTTAGTTATCTGTTACATAATGTGTAGAAGCATACATATTTATTCTAAAATATATAACATTGTGTGTAATGTATGTATTAAATAACTTTTGTACTAAGATGCCTTTAATATCTTAACATAATCTGCTGTATTATAGTTTACCCGACTAAATATAATTACAGAGTAGTAGTTCATTACATAGACGTTTCTAGCATTAATTAATGTATTAAATATAGTTTATATAACTATATAGTTATTTTATGGAAATGTGTAGGCAATGCCTATTTATAAACTACTAATTTTAAAGAAATGTTTTTTTCAAATGTAGGTCTATAATGTCTGGAAAATGTAATATATAACTTTGTATGCATTGACCAATTTTTGTAGTAGTCTTATGCATAACAAACGTTTTGAAACGAATAATTGATACTTTTTGTATATTTCCTTCCATACTAACATGTAAGTGAAGAAGATAAAAAATATATGATTATAGTTATACGAAATGTAATATTTTGAAAATTTTCACAATAATAAATTACATTAGTGGTCGCGAATATTTTAGTTCCTTTAATATTAAAATTAATTATCAAATGACAGCTATAAAGTAACAGATTGTTATTGACTTGTTAATTGTGTATTGAATACGATTTATAGGGTGTTACGAAGATTGTTGTACAATCGAAAACAAGGTAAATCAATAGGTATACATTAGAACAAACAAATTTCAAATAAATTCTTTTCTTGTGGAACCTTGTTTTCGAGAAAACCGTATTTGAAAATTCGTTGGAGACACGTGCTTCTGAATACAATTAGTCGATATATTTGTTTAATAATCACTATTTTTACTTAGAGTAAATATTGGTGACATGGTATTGTCAGTGTGTCTGAGCTTAATTACCGAAAAGAAATAAATACTTAATCGATGTTCACAAACAGTAACATAAACAGAAATACTTATTGTTAGTGATGAAATACTAGCCATAGGTTGCATACGGACATATGATGCGTATTTTTAAATTCGATTTCTTTAATAACTCACAAAGGAAATCAATCAAGTGTAATACACCGATTTTTATCAAATTTACATACAGTGAGTTTCACTTAAAATCATATACCTGACGGTTCAACTGATTTTTTTCCTATAAAACATGACAATTATACTAAATGATTAAAGCTCATATAGAGGCATACAGTTTAATGTTTTTTTATCTGCTGTGTAATAAAAATGTAACAAAACTTTTAGTAATACACAGTAAATTATGTAAATAAAATATGTCGTTGTGTATAAAAATTAGATATCAGTAAAAATCGTACACTGTTGGTAACAAATAACAAACTGTTGGTATAAAACTGGTGAATCTCTAATTTTATTCTATTTAAAAATGCTTAGAAGCAATTGAAAATAATTAAATTAGTAACATTCTGTTTATTTTGTGTAATACTTTACCAGAAAAACGAAAAAAAAATAGTTAAAATGCGATAAACTACAATAGCGGAACGTAAGTTAATTATATATCAATATAAAAACAAAAGCAGTTATAATGAAATCAGTAAAATTCCGTAAAAGTGGAAGTAGAAGCATGGTCCAATGTATAATAAAACGATCGATATAAAGAAGACCACAATCTGTACGACAGACGTACGGATGCGTAAAGCAACCGTAAAAATTTATGAACATACATATAGAAAGTTTTCACACGAAATGTATTATTTTTTCGATTTACGGTGGTAAATATTATACAATAAAGGAGGAAAGAAATATGTAATGAATATACAAACGTACATGTACTGAGTGTCAAGAAATTACATGTCACGACTATACCATAGCTGAATTCTACACTCTTGGTTTAGTGGAAATTATTGTAAAATAATAAGGTGTGCCACAAAAATTTTACCGTGACTTTGAATTTTAAGGTCAAAATTTGTTTTCATTGCATCATATTGTACTCATCGTGAGGACCACAGTTGTGAAATGAACCATATGGTTCGGAACTGAACCGTCTTCTTGAAAAAATGATGTTTCATTCATTTTTAAACTGAATTTATTTACATTTCAGTCAGATATTATATAGTGTCCGTGCTATCCTTTTTATATTGTTACGGCGGAATGTTCCGCCGCACAACATATTGTTTATTTACAAAACACAGAATCATAGTTATTAATAAAACTCTACAACATATTGTATAACAGACAACAAATATTAGGCACGTACGTTCTCCCTGATTCTCTATCGGAGACTCAATTTAAATGCTCGCGGTTGCCAACGACACGATCGCACGATTCAATTTTCGATGTGTCGATTATCGAAGTCGAAGATATCTTCAAAGGTGGGTCAATACTAGAGATGGCGTGCAAAATCACTAACGGTGATTTATCACAGTGATCGCCGAATCACGATCACAGTCGTGATTTAACTTCACTCACGACCGTGATTGCAATTTTTTTATCTTGAGTAAATTTGGTCACTGCGATCGTAAGTCCTTAATCTTTAAATAGAAAAACGTATTCAATATGATTTTACGATGAATCACATTACTATTTGTGTTTGTAAATCAGTAGAAAAAACAAGAAATTCTAAAAGAATGATTTGCTAGGTAACATGTAGATTATAATTTATAATCGTTAATTTATTCATTATTCTTCATTGTTTCTAATTATTCCTTCACTGTATACGATATAACAACCGACTAGGTATAGAATAGACCTATCATCCAATGCTTTTTTCTGTCCCACGTTCATAGGGCTATGTAACCCTGTTACCATTTTAGTGTCAATACCCGACGTTACCGATAAAGCATGAATTCTGAGTGTTATTAGCACAAATGGAGTGTTATATATTCCATTCATATTGCGTGTGTCTATATGATTTGACGGGAATAAAAATATCCGATGCTTCAGTTTAAGGTTAAGGGATAAATATGACAGTCATGAAACATGAAACGGAAAAGTATATATTTTTTCACTTAACTACAAGACAATTTATTCTAAATGCATCGTTAATGGATTTCATTCGTTTTTATATCTTGCCTTACATTGTGTATTTGTAACAGATAAATTCAGAATAGATGTAGTTTCATAAATAGTTTATCAAATCTACCTTTTGGCCGTTGCGGGAATGCCTTACCTTACCGTAATGAGCCATCTCGTGGCCGCGGGATTCCGGGTATCGGGTGACGTCACGGCGTGCGAGCGAGAGCGGTAGAGCGAGCCGCGGTATCGGTGCTCTCCGTCGGTGTTGACGCGTTCCGAGGAATTTCAGTGGTTTATGGGGGGAGGTGTGCGAGCGAGAGAGTACGGTAGAGCGTGCGCGGTATCGGTGCTCTCTGTTGGTCCAACGCGCTAGTGACGTTGCGTCACACAGTTAATTGACCTAGCCGTGTACGCCGTGTATCATAGCCGTACTTGGCTGTACCATCCGGTGTTTGGGTCGTTCAAGGAAGGTCGTTCAAGCCGGCAAAAACAATTCAACACGAACAAACCTGCGTACGCCCAATACATAACGGCGTTAGCATCCTCAGTGAGGAATCCTCACTTTCTCGTGAGCCGTCGCGGAGGGTGGGCGCGCGTCTCATACTCGTCCTTTCTCTTGTTACTAACCCATTGTTTGTTGCAGGCATTCGACAACCATCAATTTATTTACTGTGCATATTATTAA